AGGAAAATTAAAGTGCTGTGTTCAGTACTGAATTCAGTTTGAATGATCTAGTAACTGAAGTTAATTTAATTTAAAAAAAATCTCTAACACTGTGCACGACATGCTGTAAAATGCAGTTCACACGAGTCATGATTTGCGCACAAATGTCTGACTTGGCTGAGCTTTGCCCACATTCTGTCTTACTTAAATTCTTACTTAAATTCAGGCTAAACAACTCAGATGTTTTTATTTTATTTTATTACAATACATACAGTACTCACAGGAAGGTTTGGGATGCTTAATTCTGTAAAAATGTTGCAAACTTATTGGTTTCATAACAAAACTCCATTGACAAGCGACGTTTAACACATTCAGCACTTATCTCCTGCACAGATATTTTCTTTTTATTAAGTGTCATAATTTTTCTGACTGACTCATTCAGTTCTGTTCTTACCATTTTGATATTAACTGCAGTTGTAGTCATTGGCTCCCATAGGGATACTAAACACAAATGTTTGGTGTTTTATGTTATTGCAAAGGTGTTACTAATTAAAAAGCACCCAATGAGACTGCTTGGCAATGAACATTTTAACTCAGAACGGCTCTTTTAGAACTATAATTAGGGTTTCAATTTATTACTACTTGAAAGAAATGTCTTACTTAAAACTACTGGTTGTTTCTAATGTTATATATATATATATATATATATATATATATATATATATTTATATTTATATATATATATTTTATTTTTTTTGCAAGCAAAAGAATAAAGTAATGATTTTTGTTATGAGTCCAATAAATTGGCAATATTTTTACTGAATTAAGCAATAGTGTCCAAGACTTTCACTACAATTCTTAAACACAGTAAGTCTGCTGCTTTCCACCCCACCTCAAGTCTTGCTTTATTGACTTATTGTTCAATAGTGAACTTGACCGGGGTTTCTTTCTAAATGAAAAATGTCGGCCATTTTAATGTAAGCCTAGTTAGAAACTGTCCCATCCAGGCTACTATCTCCAAACAGGAGTGGAAAACCCAATCTGCCTGCTTGTACAACCCTAACCCTCCTCCAGGTGGCGCTCTTGGGAGCGTGACGCCGGGAGGTTTATTGCTACCTTTTGCGCAGCAAATTAAGTTTTACAAACAGTGTTTTATGACAGAGTCATCTTACACATTTCATAATGTTGGGAAAATTTCCGCCTACAGCCCAACAAAACTGCCAGCCTGTGTTTGAGGTGACAGACAGGTTAGGGCGTGAGGTACAAAGCTTCCTATCTTTCAGGGGTCTTCCGGTTACAATAGAGTTTACAACACCCAGGAGGACACAGGAAAGCAAATGCCTGCACACTCCCATAGATGTAGCCTTAGCTATGCTAAGGGGGGCGATGGCTTGAAGGAGTAAATGCTCAGTAACTGTACACTTTTAATCAGTGCTTCCCAATCCGGTTTTGGGGACCCAATGCCGGTCCATGTTTTTGCTCCCTCCAAGATCCCCACCAGGTCATTGCCTGGTAGGAGCTGGGAGGGAGCAAAAATGTGTACTGCTGTAGGTCCCTGAGGACCGGATTGGGGAAAACTGCTTTAAATACTTTTTAACAGCAAGTGCTTTAGGCACAGCTGTCAGATACCAGCATATTTTCTATCAGCAGGCAAATGATAAACACAGTTCAACATTTCATATATCTTACCTCACCACATAAAACAGACAAACTAGAAAACAAATACAGCTCTCTATAATAATCCCAGCAGGAATATTAAACAAAATTACTATCTATTAATAATTAGATAATATACACTCACCTAAAGGATTATTAGGAACACCTGTTCAATTTCTCATTAATGCAATTATCTAATCAACCAATCACATGGCAGTTGCTTCAATGCATTTAGGGGTGTGGTCCTGGTCAAGACAATCTCCTGAGCTCCAAACTGAATGTCAGAATGGGAAAGAAAGGTGATTTAAGCAATTTTGAGCGTGGCATGGTTGTTGGTGCCAGACGGGCCGGTCTGAGTATTTCACAATCTGCTCAGTTACTGGGATTTTCATGCACAACCATTTCTAGGGTTTACAAAGAATAGTGTGCAAAGGGAAAAACATCCAGTATGCGGCAGTCCTGTGGGCGAAAATGCCTTGTTGATGCTAGAGGTCAGAGGAGAATGGGCCGACTGATTCAAGCTGATAGAAGAGCAACTTTGACTGAAATAACCACTCGTTACAACCGAGGTATGCAGCAAAGCATTTGTGAAGCCACAACACGCACAACCTTGAGGCGGATGGGCTACAACAGCAGAAGACCCCACCGGGTACCACTCATCTCCACTACAAATAGGAAAAAGAGGCTACAATTTGCACGAGCTCACCAAAATTGGACAGTTGAAGACTGGAAAAATGTTGCCTGGTCTGATGAGTCTCGATTTCTGTTGAGACATTCAAATGGTAGAGTCAGAATTTGGCGTAAACAGAATGAGAACATGGATCCATCATGCCTTGTTACCACTGTGCAGGCTGGTGGTGTGTAATGGTGTGGGGGATGTTTTCTTGGCACACTTTAGGCCCCTTAGTGCCAATTGGGCATCGTTTAAATGCCACGGCCTACCTGAGCATTGTTTCTGACCATGTCCATCCCTTTATGACCACCATGTACCCATCCTCTGATGGCTACTTCCAGCAGGATAATGGACCATGTCACAAAGCTCGAATCATTTCAAATTGGTTTCTTGAACATGACAATGAGTTCACTGTACTAAAATGGCCCCCACAGTCACCAGATCTCAACCCAATAGAGCATCTTTGGGATGTGGTGGAACGGGAGCTTCGTGCCCTGGATGTGCATCCCACAAATCTCCATCAACTGCAAGGTGCTATCCTATCAATATGGGCCAACATTTCTAAAGAATGCTTTCAGCACCCTGTTGAATCAATGCCACGTAGAATTAAGGCAGTTCTGTAGGCGAAAGGGGGTCAAACACCGTATTAGTATGGTGTTCCTAATAATCCTTTAGGTGAGTGTATAATTTGAATAATGTGAATTTTTATGTGGAGTATTGTTCCGCCTCACGGCGCACGGAGAACAGAAGCTCAGGAAGCTGGAAGTCGGGGTGAACTCGGGGTTTTAATTGGAACAGCAACGATAAGGACAGGTAAAACACGGGGTTACATTACAATGACCGGACTGGGGAAACAAACTGAAACGCGGACTAAATACATTGCACTAATGACAGTAACCAGAAACAGCTGATAAACACGGGGAATCCACATGAGGTTAACGAGGGGGCGTGGCACATGAGAGGAGCGGACGATCGGGGCATGACAAGTATACTCTGTGAGGCTTGGGTCAGTTTTGGCATGAAAATATTGTGGGAAGAGATCCTCTTCTACTAGAATGCACCTCCGCAACATTATCACAACAAATCCTTTAACAATAATTTTCTTTTATTCATCCATCCATCCATCTATCTTCTATACCCACTTATCTCATGCAGCCTTGCAGGGATCAGGACCCTATTCTGGAAGCTACGGGCACAAGGCAGGGAATAAGCCTGTATAGGCCAGGAAAATATTATTTATGTGCCAAATATTATCCTGGGTATTATGTTGCCTATTTTAACTACATCATTTGGCATCCCTTAGCTTTTTACATCCTAGAGATGGCATTGTTAACTTTATTTAATTACTAGTTAACTAGATACAAAACCATACAGGGATTATGTCTATCACATTAGATATATTTACAGTTCCAAAAATTCATTGCCAAAAGTTTAATACCTATAATAATGTCACTTCCCTACAGCTGTATTAACTCTACCCCAAAGTATTTTGCCAGAGATAAACTGTACTGTTGCTAAACCCCTTTTGCCATGAGTGTGTTTTTGGTCTTCACTGCCGAAAACTGAGATAAGGAGTTGGGGAATTCCAGCTATGCAGCCAGAATGGATGGTATATATCAAAGTCAAGCTCTTGGTCCTAAGTCTGCAATACATCAGGAGTGAGCCTCTCACATTTTTGGAAAAGGGAATGATGGAACTGTAGGCGGAGGTTTCTGTGTACAGGCAGGCAAATGGGGGTGACAGTCCTCTGAGGGCGGTTACATAAGCTAGAGAGTTATCGAGAAAACCAGAGAGGTTTAGTCAGCCAATGCAAACAGAAGGAAGAGGGTAAATACTGAAAACAAGACAGTAACATAAAATAATGGAAGCTACTTTTTATTTATCATCAGCAGGAAAAGGCTGTAGAACGAGGATCGTTTTTCGTTCATCCTGCTGAAATTCCTGGTATTGCCACAGATTGTGGTCTGTACTCTCTGTACTGTGAATATAAACATGCACACACAAGCATGCTTGCACACGCACACACACACACACACACTTGTAGGGTAAATATATCCTTATGGGGACCGCTCATTCATTTCAATGGGAAAAATGCTAACGCTAACTATGACAACCTTAACCCCTACCCTGCCCTAACCATAACCATAAGTAACCTAACAAAATACAAGAGTTTTTGCATTTTTAGTTTTTTCATAGCAGTCACCGATTTTTATAAAATAGAGTTTTCCTTTATGGGGACCAGGAAGCCGGTCCCCATAAGGGAAAAAAAATGGATATTTATTACGTTATGGGGACATTATGTCCCCATAAGGATAGGTAAACCCACTCACACACACACACACACACACACACACACACACACACATTTGTATTAATATCTTTGTGGGGACTCTCCATTCATTTCTATGACAAAACCCTAATCACGACAATGACAACCTTAACCCCTACCCAGCCCTAACCTTAACCAAACAAGTAACCAAACAAAATACGAGACACACAACGTCAAAAAACAGGTGTTTTTTACTTTGTGACACACACACACACACACACACACACACACACACACACAGCATGTCAAGTTACGCATTGTTTAGCATTGTTTAGTTTTTCTGGGCTGGACTTTGACAGTCTTTAAATACCTGTAAAGTCCTGTGTTGGTGTTCAGTCTGATAGAGCAGCAGCGGCCGCGACAGTTTGCTAGCGCTGCCCTCAAGCCTTCGGTTTGAGCTGTGACAATGTTAGCGGTGAAGGCACCACAGGATACAGTTGCTATGGTGATTGTTAGGATGAACACGGTGAAAAAGAAGATTAAAAGAGGAAGATGATAATGGAGCCACGGAATAAAAAGGAGGCGAGTGAATAACTGATGGAGAATAAGCAGTGAAAAGGTCGTCAGTCCACAGCTCAGGGGGTGTTCACCTCCCATACTGAATTTAGATTTGGGTCATAATATCTTACAGGAATCTGGAACAGAGAGGAACTTAAGTCGGGCTCAAAAGTAAATAAAAACAGTTATTTCTAATAATGACTGTGTAATTCACAGAGATAAAATCCTATGCCTTTGTTCTCTTGTGGAGGTCTGTGTGTGTTTTGTTTTTTAGTAAGAGATGTTTTTAAGATGAGTGCGGCGAGGGTATGTATTTTAGTGAAGAAAGCATTCTTTCATGGCTTGGCACCCAATTACTCTGTGAAGTGTAATGAGGTGTTTCCTTTTAGTGTAAAGTACAGATAGTCTTTGTTTATTTCAGGGCTATGTGAAGGTAAGGCCAAGCCACAAGGCAGGACAGCATTTGGCTTCAAGAAATGTGAACCACCGTGTAACTTGCGCATTGCAGATGGAAACTATTCTTTTATCTTTATAAACAACTTTGAATAACTGAGGCTCTGCACAGGGTTTGCAAAGGGACATATCAGTGATGTTTTTTTGGGATATTTTGGCGCAGAACAAGGCTCACAAACCTTATAACCTTTTGACATCGGATAGCTGGAAAAGACGACTCCTGCTTGTCAATCCTGCACCTCTCCTCAGAACCTTAGACTTTTAGTTTAGTCTCTTGTTTCCCTTCCTGTTTTTACTTCATTTTCAGCCATTCTTTCTGTTTCAGCTGGAGGTTAGCATGGACTGTCATCTGGCAATAATTATACAATCCCTTACCCCCCCGCACTGTTCCCCCCTTTCTCCCACCACCAGAGCTGGTCCCTCTCTCCTTCTCTCCGCCTCTCTCTGTCTCTGTCTCACCTCCACAAGCCGGGGCTCCTTCAGAGCGACTCAGGATAGCAGGATGGATCGAAGGACTTTTGTATGTTTGTTGGCAGCCGGCTTGAGCCTGTTCCTACCGCGGACAGGGGCACAGGGAGAGAGTCAACCCAGACAGACGAGCAACAACAGCAGGTTTGGCATGTGTGTGAATCCGTGAAGGTTTGTGTGTATGTGTGTGTGTGTCAGCATGCGTATGGGTCTGTGTAAGGTCACATGTGAATCTGAAGGTGTTTGTTGGTGTGGGTCTATGACCGTGGGGGGGGGTCTATAAGCATTTCTGTTTTTTGCAAAAGTGCGAGTGTGTGTGCTTGATTGGATTCCCATGAGTGAATAGCTGGAAAATGATTTTATCTCTCTCATATGCATACCATGCATGTGCTTGTCTTTGCCAGTAAGTGTGCTTTATATTCATTCAGAATTATCCAGGACCTATTTGCATTTGCATATTTGCAAAGTAAAAGAAATACTTTAATTGTGTAATTAAAAAGAAAATGTTAGGGAATAGCATAGTGCTCTCAGACTCTCATGTCTACTGTGTGTCTATGGAGTTTGCATGTCCTATCTTTGCCATGCAGGTTGTCTTTGGGCAACACCAGTATTCTCCCACAGTTGAAAGGCGTACAGTTAGGCCAATTGACATCTCTGAATTGCCCACAGCGTATGGCTGTGTGTGTGTCCTGTACTGGAGAGGCATCCTGTGCTGGCCCCTCTCTGCCTGAGATGAGCTCCAGGTCCCCAGGCTCAGACGCCTGCCCAGCCTTTGGAATATTAACAGGGATGTTACCATCAGAATTTGGAGAATATGTATTTTCCTCTGATAGTTAACTTTCGTGCAGTATTCCGTCCCACAGTCACTCTCCATCCATGTAGTTAGACCATGGGTTGTGTTCAGATGGGTCTATGTGTGTGTGTGTGTGATTTCACATGGATGTGTTATTGTGGGACTGATCTTCTGGGTTGACTTGACTACACTTAGACTAAACTCATACAGTGCAACAACAGCTGTAGGTCTTAATTCTCTTTCAAAGTTGGGGGGGGGGGGGGGTATTTTATTAGATTCTGGGCAGTACTGTTCCCCCAGGCTGTTTCCAGGCAGCTCTCTTGGAATCCATTTTTTTCTCATATGGAATTGGATTAAGGATATTTGGATTTTTTCTTGCCATGAAAAATCCAAGGAAGACATATGAATGTCTGGTAAGACCATCAGAGCTGCTGAAAATGCCATCCTTTAAGCAACTGAGAATGATGCAGAACTCTGAGTTAGAGATGCTGCTCTTGTGTCACTGATCCAGTGTCTGCATTGTGCATTGTACCACATGCTTAGAATTAAATATTTAACCCAGAGTAACTACTACCCTCAAACAACTGAATATTCAACTGCAGCCAGTGAGGTTTAGTATTTTCCTGAAACTGTACATTTTTTTTGCCTGGTCATGGTCAGTTTACAAGTCAGTGAGTGCTCAGAAACCCTGCCCCCTCCAAGTCAGTGAGTGCTCAGAAACCCTGCCCCCCCTCCCCAGGGACTGATTGAGACAGCTCTGTTGTCTGCCAGATGCTATGCTTGCTACAGAACTAGAGCTGAGAAATCTCCATTGTCGTGTAAGTGGACAGATTTTATTAATGGAGCAGGGGGGGGGTTACTTGGCAGAGAGCATGTAAAGAACTCACGGACGTGGAACTTGGTCATAATGGGGGGAGGATAAGGAATTGAGATACAGAGGGGACCAATCCTGGCTTCAGCTCTTCACTACTCCTCCAATCACAGATGTAACCACCAGTGCAACAAAAACCAGTGAAGAATGAACACTATGTCGGGGGAGAGGGGCCATCTAAGTTTATTTGTGCAGGATATGAGTGCATCATAGACAGCGTGTGACTATGTGCGTGTGGCTGCTATATTTGTACATCCGCAGCTGTTTTCCTGCACAATGTGAGTTGTGTGTCTAATTCATATTCTTTCAACATTGTTTGCTCTGCTTCTTCTCATTCCTAACAAACCCTCGTTCCCTGCCACCTCCTAGGCCTGCATTCCACTGTGGGGGCAATCTCGTTGCAGACTCGGGGTTCGTTGGCAGTGAGGGATTCCCCAACTACTACAAGCCTGACAAAAAGTGCACCTGGTACATCACGGTGAGATTTTAGGGAGCCATATCTCATTGCAGATCCTGATGATGACATCTTGGCACTGTAAGCCGTATCATTATTCGGTTTTTCGTTGGAAACCAACTGTATCAATCCACTCTTCCTTGCCACCTTCTTGACTCTGCAAACTATATTACTCTGCTTCTAATTGGATATCATCTTGGCTCTATGATAATTTATTGCTCATGAGTCAACACTGAGCTGTAGACCATAGTTGCAGCTAGAACAAGGCAGTAAAACCCAGGCAAAGCTGGCAGGATGCATATTAGAGTGCAGGCAGGCTCATCTTCCAATGGCTTTATCATAACCTGTGACCCATCCACAGGTCCCTGAAAGCAACGTGGTCGTGCTCTCGTTCCGAATCTTCGACCTTGAGGCCGACCCACTCTGCAGATATGACTACCTGGATGTTTACAATGGACATTCCTACACAGCACAGAAATTGGGACGGTTTTGTGGAACGTTTCGGCCTGGCGCTGTCATGTCAACTAGTAATACCATGATGCTGGAGATGGTTTCAGACTCTGGATCGGGTGGCCGCGGCTTTTTGGCCTCCTTCAGCGGGGGCAAGCCACACGTGGATGGTGAGAGGTCTCTGTGCTGCTGGCCCAAAATCCATAGTGAATGACATTTGCAGAAAGTTATTAGGCTAGAATTAAACAGCTTGAAAGAAACAATCTTGCTTTGTAGACATAATATTAGGTATTTCCTGTTGATAACATCTTCCCCCCCATCCCCAGAGCACCAGTTCTGTGGAGGCAAGATCCAAAAAGCTCAGGGTTCCCTGAAGACACCCAACTGGCCAGAAAAGAATTACCCTGCAGGCATCACCTGTTCCTGGCACATCATCGTGGAACCTGACATGGTTAAGAAGCAGATCCATTGTATCTACCTTTCACCTGTTGTCCCATCATATCGGCTCTGCTCACTCTCAGGGGACACCCCCCCCCCCAGCCTGTACTGCTGTTTCTGTTTCTTCAGCTGCCTCTTCTACAAACACTGCTTTACCTAAACATCTTCATTCAAGAGTACAACCACAATTCCCTCCAGGATTTTGACCCTGTTATCTCTTTGGACTGTTCTCTTCATTAACCTCTACATTATACTGTGATGCAGTATCATGGTCTACATATATTTGTGATGTAAACTATGTAAGTCGAACATGATTTCCTGACCTGCCACATGCTTAATCTCTTAAACCAAGGTCATTGAGGTGAAATTTGACAAGTTTGACCTGGAGCCAGATAGCTACTGTCGTTTTGACTATGTAGTGTTCTTCAATGGAGGTCAGAACGACAACTCCCGGCGCATTGGGAAGTACTGCGGGGATTCTGTGCCTAAGTGAGTCCTGCCTCCAGTCTCAAGGTCACAGTTCTGTAACCACCACATCACTCTGTGCCTTGGATCTAAGGATGATGATACACAGGGCAACTATTTGAGCAATGTTGCCGAGCAATGTTGCCGGGCAATGTTGCTAACTAATGTTGCTTGGGCACTTTCTCATTGATACTGAGCAACAAATCTCTATTTGAAAACCTTTGATTGGCAGCGTACAACTTTTCATGATCATCCAGATTTAGATGAGTTGCCCTTTGTCTTACCTGTTTGGTAGTTGCCCGGCAACATTGCTCAAAATGTTACCCTGTGTAACATCGCCTGAAGATGTAAGATATCCATCATGAAGGGGCATTTGCATGTGGTTCCTCATTGTTGTGTTAAACGTTCTTTTAAAAGGTTTCTTCTGAGAATAACAAAAAATACTGATACCTGTGGCTGTCAGCCTCCCTGAGGGTCCAGTGAGCTTCCCTCTTGTCTTTCATATTCTCGCTTTGATCCATAGATCCATAGTGACAGATGGGAATCAGCTGCTGGTCCAGTTTGTGTCTGATCTGAGTGTGACATCCGACGGCTTCATGGCCAGCTATTCCAGCATCCCCCGGGGGTCCAAGACCCCGACTAGAGAGGGTGATACGTGGCCTGGAAGTGGAGCAGAGTCTATTCCCCCGAAACCAAAACCAGGGCCCAGGGTTGAATCCGTGCCCCTGAAACCTGACACCAAACCGAAACAGCCCCCGCGACCCCCCATTACTGTCACAACAACCACACCCACAACCACGACCACACCTGCACCCGGTGTTCCTTCCTTGCCAGAAATGGAAAAGCCCTTTGTAAAGCCTAAGACACCACAGTTCATGCCCAAACCCAATCAAAACCGAACTACTGTGAAGAAACCCAGTAAGTATGGGCTAACTGGATGTTTTTTTGATCTGACTAGATGTTTAATTTGTTGATCTGATCAGCTCTTTGAGTGAATAGAGTGTTTTCAGTAGTGAGTGATCTGATTGGGTGTTTCATTGTATTATCTAGCTGGTTGTCTGAGTGAGTACACTGAGTTGATTAGGTTTTGAGTCTGAGTTTATTGTGCATTGTTGACTGTGTGTGTTTGTGATGCGTGTTTATTTTTTACCAACTGCAGTTGGTCCCATTAACCCTGTATGTGCTCCGCCATGTAAGAGGGCTGGGACCATGCAGAGCAACTTCTGTGACAGCGAGTTTGGTGAGTAGCGACTGCATCAAGCCCTTCAGAATAGTTTAGTCTCCTCCAATCCCAAACCAGACATTACACTGGTTTTAAAAATAAACGGGTATAATGGGGACAAAAGGTGCTGAGTTTGAGTGTAAGGAAGGAACATAAAGAGTTACAGTCACAGAGTACTCAACTGGTAGGTTGAAACAAAATCTTGGTCTGGGTTTTTACTTTCTGGACCTTAACTATCCATCTCTGAGTAACGGTAACTTAAAAGCAAAAAAACATACAATGACACCCTCTCATGTCTTTAACACTATAAGTACACAGTCCATTAACAATGTGTAATGTGTGTGTCTTGCCTCCCAGTGGTGATTGGTACAGTGACAGCCATGGCTCCAGTCCCTAGGGGCAGGTGGACTCTGACCGTCTCCCTCATTAAAGCTTTCAAAGCTGGACGGCTGATGATTGCTCAGGCTGGCCAAACCATGTCTATCAAGATAACCTCCACTTGCAAGAACTGTCCCATTCTGCGGCGAGGTCAGTGTCTCTCAGATACAGCTCTGGAAAAAATTAAGAGACCACTCTATATTTAACAAAAAATCTGCATTTTTAAATCCTGGTTTAATCATGGTTCTGTGGGCAGAAGGCTACGCTGATTGGCAGGTTCCAAGGTTCAAAGTTTCTAAGACTGCAGTATGAAAGAATAATATGATGCAGGAGACAATGGGAATAACCAAAAACTAGCCAGGCAGGGTAGAAGTGACGTTCTAATACCAGAGATGACCGTCAACTTATCTGGCAGTGCCTCATGAATTGATGGATGACATCAAGTGACGTTAAAAAAGATTGGAAAACATTAAGTAGTGTAAAGTGCACTGCTAGGACAGTTCGTATCAGGCTCCTAGAAGCAGGACTGAAGTCCCATATAGCCCCAGAGTCCTTCATCAATGAGAAACAGAGAAGAACCAGGCTTGACTTTACAAAAGATGTACATTTTACAGACGCATACCCATAAATTGAGAATGGAGAGAAACTAAAAACTTTGCTGTGGTCTCTTAATTTTTTTTTCCTGATATTTTCATAAACATACATTAATTATGTACATGCACATATAATCATAGGTGCTCACACACTCATGCACATTTATGCACTAAAACATACACAGAATTGACTGGTGTCTGCTTCCACAGGTATGAGCTACGTCCTGATGGGTCAAGTGGATGAGGAGGGGCGGGGCATTGTGGTGCCCAGCAGCTTCACTGTGCCTTACAGGACCGCACAACAGAAGATACTGGCCAATCTCCTCAGACGGCCTTGCTGAGTTTTCAAATGAATACACCAATCGGAGGCCACGCCTCCATCCAGGAGTACCACAGCCCTACAGACACAAATATGAAGTGACATAATAACAAACCACCGCTTACTTTTCTTGAAACAGAAACTTCTGCAAGTTGCTGTAACGAAATCAACCATTCTGATTTCAGTTCCAATCACAATTTGCCGTTACACCCCCTCCCATCTAAAAAACAAAACTAAACTGGATGTGGTCTGTTTTCTTAAATTGTTTGTACTTGTTGATGAGCAGGCACTAACAAGCCAAACACTATACATGAATACTCATGTCGGTTATATTATGTCACATTTTACAAACTTATACAATAGATGTCCCTCTAATATGTTTGTAATTTATAATGTCTCAATTAAAGGATTTATAACACGTTACGTTAATTAGCTTCTTTTTCACTCTTTTAAACGCCTGAGGGTTTCGCGGTATCCGATTCACGTTGTATCAGCCGTTCTGAGCTAGACTGGGGCTTGAAGCGAGCGCTAAAAGCTTGCGGTGCAGTTTCGGTACCACTGCAGTGCTTCATATTCCCTCAGGGGCTTCAGACGGTCTGCGAATGTGTGTGTGGGTGGATGTAATAACATGGTTAAGTTATGTGTCGATCGAGGGCATTGCTAATGAGAGGCAGCTGGTCTCACTGTCTGTCCAGAGAACTCGATCCGTCGTTCTCTCTCTCGCTCCCCTTTCCTGCTTCAGCCGGTAGGTGAGTTGCTCTGTGTGGTGTATTTGTCTGCAGGCTGCCTGATACAGAGACAGATAAACAAGCACTAAATGGTAAATAATAAATGAATTTCCTGCATTTTGAGAGAAAGGATGACAGACACAGGAAGGAGAAAAGAAAGAAAGCGTCAGAGCTCTGCAAATAAAATTTGTACAGGCGTGCCATTGATGTATATTAAATTTTATGTATTATTTATTTTAATTAATCTTTCTCTTTGCATTTTGATATATTAAGCCCAAATGTTACATCCTAAAGAACCACGAATTAAATAACGGCTGCTGACAAAAAAAAAGATACTACACTGGCACCTAGTGGCCATTTCTTTGTAGTGTTTTCTATTTTTTCTTAATTTCTGTTTCAGGTTTATTTGTGTCGTTTCCTGGACAGCCTACATACACAGCCATATTCTGTTTGTAACAGAAATATATGGAGTATATGGAGCTCGGTGACATTCGGGATTTGGCTCGTGTGAATTGCAGTGATCTGAAAGTTGTTATCACGCTGCATCTTGATTCTGCCCTTATGGCTAATATAGTGCAGTTGCCTGTTGTAGAAATAGGGATGGGCGATTACCTATTATTTGCAACTTCATTTCATAGTAAAACTGGCTCTAAATGACAGGATAGGACCCAAAAATTCCGGCTGAACAGATTGGTTAAGACAAGACTTTATTTACATCTTTCCTGAACGGGTAGACAGGTTCAGTGGTGCATCTTACTGCAAGGTACAATACCCTCCAGAGTTTCAGCACATGTGGTAAAAATGACCCCAAAAATTAATTAAATAATGTGTTTATTGTCCGTTAGTTTCATCCAACACTCACATGATGAGAAATCGAACCTTTAAATGAAGTAAATTCATTCAAAAAAAATCCTCACAAGAAATTAAAGTTTTTTCTCAAAAGATATGTCACAATTATTGTTGCCCTAAAAATTCTCATGAACAGAATCTAATTATACCTTTTACAAGCACACTTCAGTTTTTAGCAACTCTTTGGCGGTCCTGGGAATTCTTAAGCACTGAATTGCTGTTTCCCTGGTGTAAAAAAATAAGGTAGCACATATATCAAAACCACCCCTTTAGCCTTCCATCAATATGGATAAAGCCAGAAAATTCATAAATGAAATAAGACCAAAGGTCGTTGACCTACATAAATCAGACAAAGGCTATTGAAAATACCTGCACACATCGAGAATCGTCATTTCCATTGTAAAAGATATAATTAAGATGAATTGATGAAAGGACATCAGCCTCTTCTGCATCCATACACAGTAAGGTAGATAATTCACGGGGCAAAATCTTGTCCAGGAATCTCAGTTGGACAACTGCAGCAGTAGTTTGCATTCTAGGGTTACCAGGTCTTCAAAACTACAATGAAACATCATGTCAACAATCTATCTGGCAGGCTTGCTAAAAGAAAGCGTCTGCTGAGTTTTTGCAGCTGTCATTCCAGTCCACTGATATAACCCCATTGAGAATGTGTGCAGTACGCGGAAGAGACAGGTAGACAAGAGAGGTCCAAGGACTCTGAAGGATTTAGAGAGATTTTTTGGATCTAAATGTGATTTAAATGTGTTCTTCCATTTCCTTCATCATTATAAGTGAACAATTCATCATTTGAGTTTAAGATGTAGCCAATAAAGACATTTTTCATAGCCTTGTTGGTTGTTTTTATCAAGAATTCTGGAGGGCACCATAAATATGTCGATATTAATGGTATTTTTAGGCCTGTGATTGCAGTGGTGTTTTCTGTAATATCACACTATAACTTTCACATGCTGACATGGCTTATCACAGACATGATGAAGAAGTTGGGGAGTGTCAGGCAGGAGAGTAGAAGTGAATCAGGAGCAGAGCCAAACAAGAAATATGAGCATCCGGACAGGTCTTGGGTGCCGCTGAAGCCATATACATCACCATGCTCAGATCGACAAAGACAGACAGCACTCCCCCAGGACATGACTGGGAGGTGCCTTTCCCCATCTCACCCACAGCCCTACACCTCCTTGCTTCTTTACTCCTCCTGCAGCAAGGTCAAGGAATGATTCGGTCCTCCTTCATTGTGAACTGGAGTCTGGGATAGCCCACTTGCATAATGAATGAACATCAGAAGACGAAAGGCTGCAATGCTTCTCTGTTGCTGTGCCCCAAAATGCAACACCTTGTTGGTATAGCCCACCCTATGTTGGCGTAACCCCATTGCCTTGTTATAATTCACCCCATCTTAGTATATCCCCACTGTACTGGTATAAATAACCCAGTGACGGTGAAGCCATACTATGTTGATGAAGTCAATGCTGTCTTTGTATAATCCACCCTGTGTTAATATAGCCCCTTATGTTGGTATATTTCATTCTGTGTTAGTACAAACCATGGATTACCGGGATTCAGTACTCAGCCTTCAGAGTTTGTGTGGATACTTAGTCTGTGTTGGAGGGTAGAGGACTTTCCATTAACAGCAGCAGCTGGGTGCTCGTGAGACGTCATCGATTGGCTGAGATCCCCCCCCCTCCCATCGTCCCGGTTTCTATGTGTGCTTGGTCACCCATATTTACGTCTGCTATAGAATGTATATAATTATGTGGGTGTGTGAACTGGTCAAACTGGTCAATTAACACTTACTAAGCAGAAAGAGAAAGAATCCAGGCAGAACATGTTGTATTTTAGGGTTTATGTGACAGTTTTTTTATAAAATTTACATGCATTTTTTATGCCCATGTGCCAAATATTTGCTCAATAATGTGTTAAAATATTTGCCTCCATGAACACAGTCCTTTCAGTTCTTTGATTGGTTAAATGGTTTAAGAAGATCAATATCTATATAGTTTACGACACTGCTGTCAGGTGTACCGGAGGTGAAAATGACCTTTGTCCATCACTCAGGTCTTACATTTATAGCTCATATTTCATAGTGTGTAGTAGCACCAATAAAAAAACATTGTTCGCATAACCTTCAGCACCCCAATGTTTCCCAACAACAGATTCATTCTCATGCAGGTGTAAAACTGGCAGCCTGTGTTGTTAGTACAAACAGCACACAAAGCCACATGGTTGTTCTTTTGTTTTTAAATCCAGACACTGTGCATATAGTAAAGACCAGCATTATTTACAGCAGAAATATAACTAAAAGCAATTGATTGTATCAAAAAATGTGCAGCGCATGTAGAGAGGTAAAATGAAAAATGCTCATTAAAAATCAATTCATGAAGGCTCTGAATCCACATACCACCTGATTCATAGTCCAGTTTTGGCACTTTTCAAGCATTAAAAAAAGACTGACCTCACCCTCCACTGTGCAATCATAATGTATTCTCCATGGCCACTGCATAGCCCCACAGCTAAGGCCAGTGTCTCCCAACCTGGTCCTTGGGGACCCACAGACAGTCCATGTTTTTGCTCCCTCCCAGACAGTCCATGTTTTTGCTCCCTCCCAGACAGTCCATGTTTTTGCTCCCTCCCAGACAGTCCATGTTTTTGCTCCCTCCCAGCTCCCTGCCAGACAGTCCATGTTTTTGCTCCCTCCCAGACAGTCCATGTTTTTTCTCCCTCCCAGCTCCCTGCCAGACAGTCCATGTTTTTGCTCCCTCCCAGCTTCCTGTCAGACAGTCCACGTTTGGGAACTGGGAGTGAGCAAAAATGCGGATTGTCTGTAGGTCCCCAAGGATCAGATTTGGGGAACACAGCCTATGGGTAGGGCATGTAGTGAGGTACAGGGACCCACTGAACTTCCAGACCATTCCATTTGTGGCATCTGAGGAAGAAACACGTCTAACCCCCTGGAGATACATGTCTCCAGGGGGTTAGCATGAACAGCACTATTTAAATCCACCCACCAGAGCAAACAAATCAAAGTGACGACGGCAAGCTTGGTAGCTCTTTATTTCACAGATGACACAGCCCAGAGACTGCAGAGGGTGTACCCATGGGAAATAGGGAGTCATCCCAACAGGAGAGGCCTACACATCTCAGTTACACACACACACATACATAAATTATACAAATTTTAGTAACCGAGTCACTATGGAAACTCAGGAGTTTGTTTGTCTGCGTTTCCTCCCACGGTCCAAAGACATGCCGTTAGGCTAAAAGGTCTCTCTCTGTTACCCACAGAATATGGCTGTGCGTATGTATCTGCATGTAGGCTTTGTGTTACGGACTGGCATACCATCCAGGATGTACCCCAACCTTGTCTAATATGCTGCCTGAGATAGACTCCAGGCCCTGCTGCACCCCAAACCAAGATAAACAGTTAGATGAATGCATGACGGGGTATATGTGGACACTTCTATGCAGCTGGCCTAGCCTCTCAGTGGCGGCCTCTTCAGGCGGTCCCTGTCACTGTAGCAGCTCACACCTCAGGCCCATGGCCGACTGAGGGTTGCTTAATGAGTCCTGCCCTATAAGTTGTATTAGTAGCCACCCTTTGACCCCAAATGCAGGAGTAGCTTCAGGGGCTGTGAACTTGCATTAGTAACAGTCCCGGGTCCTTCCGGTCGTCCAATGGGGACGTCAGTTGGTGGAATCAATGACGTTGCCGTCCAGCCGGTGTCGAAGACAGATGACGGCTTTGTGAGTCAGGCAGACGTGCCGAGCCTCCCGCGAGCTCCTCTGCACTCCCTCATCGTGCCATGCTGGGGCAACAGGCGACTGTGGTTTCTCTTCTTGCAGGGAGGTGTCTGAGGAAGGTGGTTGGAAATAAAGACCAGCATCCTTAGGCTTTGTAGGATAGTCACATGCTGCCTATTTATAACCAAATCCCAGGTGCTTGCATGACAGATTCCAGCTAACAAGGTGCTCCAGTCAGAGATTTACATTTTGCTGCAGAACCTGGTGCCCCTACCTGTGCGGATGGTGCTTTGCCTACTCTTGCTCCTCTCCTTGGAGTTCCTGGACCAGGGAAAGCACTGCAGCACTTTCACACCCATGGTTGTGGGAAGAAGCAGCTGGAAGGGGGGGGGGGGCACTGATTAACTTTTTCTTCTGTCAAATGTATCGAAAGCATGAGCTTTAAATAGGACAAGGTGGTGAAGTGCTACAAAGCCGAGGAATATCCTGCCGTGAATATGTGCACCTTTCAGCAGAACCTCCCAAGAGAACTGAGACTGCACACTCAGGAACAGGGCAGAAATCGGAGCCAGAACCAGAACCTATTATCATTCCCAGACAGCTGTGACTACTGTGTGCCCTTTGTATGAATTCCTTTGTATGAATTTTCTTTTTGGGAAATATAATGTTTATTCTTAACAAAATCCATGTGCTAGATATTCTTTCAGCCAAAGTATAATTTTTAAGTTATTTGCATTTGCATATGTCCTAGTACATTTCTTATTTCCCCAATCCCTTGTCCATTTTTCGGCTGACCTGGTCTAAGGTTGCACTTATTTTAGCACAGTCCGTCACGAGCAGCATCACAGGGCTACCATTCGTTCAAATGAAAGTTATGCTCCAATTTAGACGTAGCATCGCTGGTAATCTTTCAGATCAAGTTTGAAGTCTATTGTCAGATTTACTTAGTAAAATGTGACACTCATTTGCATGCCTTAATAAACACGCAATAAATCGCAGCGTCAGATAAGCTAACAACGTCAAAAGTAACAGTAAGACATAAAATACACAAAAGAAATAATACAAAGCAATATCACAAAAAGAAATGCCAAATGAATGGCGATTATAAAATACTATAGCGTGTCCTTATATTTTATGATAAACAGCAATTTATAGCTGTTTAATAGGTAAAAGCTTAATGGCAATTGTGTATAGAATCTCTTTCTGAGCTTTGCGGTGCAGTTTTAATACTCTTAAAATAGAGCGAACGGTCGGTTAGTCATTAAGCAAGATGAGGTCTGGAAATTAAGTTCTTTATTTACTTATCTAGGGCACCGACGCTCCTAGATTTTGACGAATTGAACGCTGCTGGATCCGAATAGACGGCAGAAGAACGTCACACGGAGCAGCAAATGGCTGTATGACCAGACGTGACTCAAAGCACGTATATATGTACAATTCCAGAGCTCCCTGCTGCCCGCTTGGGGAGAGTCGCAGCCTAGCGCTGTGATTTACTGTATGTTTGTTATTAAAAGGCAGTGACGTTCATAATCGGCATTATTTCTGTTGCCCCCGTTAAATACACGATCTCACTTTAATCGCCGATAACCCTGTACAATACGTGTAATCCTGAACGCTATTATTTCACCATACTGGACCAGATTAGCCTAAAGATATTTTAATAACGTATTAATATATTTTAGTATTATTAAGATTAATCCAGTTTTCTTCCATAGATACACCAAAAGCAGGAGTGGAGATTTCAGGTCCAGAGAGTACAAATCCAGACCAAGATTTTGTTTCAACCAACCAGTTGAGCATAAAGAGTCACGGTCAGAGAGTGCTCAACTGGCTGGTTGGATCAAAATCTTGGTCTGGATTTATACTCTCTGGACCTGAAATCTCCACCTCTGACTAAAAGTGTCCTTAACCTTCCATCCGTCTTTCAGATTTTTGTCATGGACATGATCTAAATTCGTCCCAAGCAGCATGGGGGACATGTAGGGACAGGGCACACACACGCACACACTCACACACTTCGGCCACATCGGGGACTACAATTAACCGGACTGAGCGTGCTCTACCGATACGCCTTCGACTTAAAAACTCCTTCATATAATTTGGCATTTCATAACATAACGATGAGGACATAAGGACCTCAAATCAAAAGTCCCGCTGCTGTTTCCGTAATTTTGGTATTTGCTTAAAAACTACACCACTGTGCTATGCAGCTTTTAGTAAAATGTTTGGTAGGCTATATTGAACAGCTGGAAAACATCGCATTATTTCACAATGCATTGCACTTGTTAATTTTCAATGTAATTTAGATTAATATGAAATCATCATACAACAAATATCTGATATTAAAATATGTTAGGTTCCGCATCCAGTTTGGAAATCTATTCAGGGAAATTATTTGGTTTCATCGCCAAGCCACTGAAACATAAACTTAATATACTGATTGATTTAACGCGGGATATCGTAACAAAACAAAACCAAAGTTAACTTACCTCTAACAGAGGCGAGTACTGTAGCAGTGAACGTCTGTCTCGTCAACTTACTTCGTCCTCAGCTACTGTCAACAAACAGATCGTTGTCCAAACTGAACAGTTTCTGTTCTCTCTATCGTGGTGCCCTTTTTATAACCAGAGCTCAATAATGCAGTCCTTTCAAACGAAACCGATTGTGTGTCAGTTCAGGGTTTTGTAAGATTGTGCACTGAAACATGCAAACATGGAAAATCCCTCCCAGGCGCGTGGAGCAGTCAAGCCTTTAAATGGCTTATCCCCTGCGCGTGGCCATGTGACGACACGCCCCCCAAATCGTCAACCCTCTAGAATAGGATAGACGCCTACGTACCTGGAGGACGCTTGCACTGTAAACACACCCGCAGTACATTCTGACTCTCAATTAGGCCTACATGTTTACTAACAGATGCCTTTAATGTGTTATTCCCGTCTTTTATGATCATTTTGGCCTACATTTGCACATCATGTCCGGTGGGTTTATTTTGCTCCCTATATATTTTGGTTTATTTTGGGATATTTAAAATGTTGTTGTCTCTAAGGGTCCATCGCGATAGTTTCATAAGGAACTTCTTTTACACCGTCCCAGTGCTGCGACTATAAATAATGCGGTGCAGACGGATTACAAGTTGACCGTGAACCCTAGTTATCATCTCTATCCACACTCCAGAATTCAGGCAGAAATGAAAGTTGTCTGCTGTGTGGGCTGTAGGTATATATCAGTGCGAGCTAACCGTCAACGGTGTCCATTCTTCCAGTCATTTCCAGAAATCATTTCCTGGAACTGTTGATCCTCATCTGATGATTAAGATGGAAAACAGAAATTACAGAATTATAATTGGACTTAGCTTCATGTAGCATCTCAGTACCTAGTTAAGAGTTTTTAACTGCACCCATTTACACTGTTTATTTTTATTTACACAGTCTTTCATTTTCTGTTACTCAACAGATACCTCACTAACACATGCACGGCACTTACTGTCTTAGATATTTAATCACCTCTTTGACACTGAAAAACTCACAGAGAGATGAGACTACAGATTTCACATATTCGATCATGCTGCCACCCTAACACAACGCAACATCTAGCCTTGTTGTTGATGTGATCAATGGACGGTTTTGGAGTGATGGCCAAATTTCCTGTATTTTTGACCCCACTAGATGACGTTCCTGGTTTGCTTTAGGGCAGAAATGAGCCCTTTTTTTGAATAGAGAGCACCATCTATAGTGGTGTCAGAAAATATAGCAATTGGTTCATGAAGCTTCATTTGGCCATCACTACTGTTTTGGACTGAGTGCCTTTATACTAAACAGAAATGACAAGAACATTGATAAAGACCAAAGGCACATGGAACAACGAGTGGCACACTGGCTATAAGAGTAGTGCCATCCATTCTGCTGGAGTAACGTCCAGCTGACATATTAACATTGCAGATATTCTGTCTGATTTTATCCACAGCGCAATGGACATGAATAATACAAATCATGTTTGATTGGTCAGTTTTCCACCAGGTTGTGGAACGCTGGGGGTTTTGGGGAGGGGTTAGTTAATTATAAAATGAATTATGTATTTTCATGCCACGTTTTCCTTTTTTTTTTACGATCCCTAATGTTCACATGTCCTGATCGCATCTTATTATTAAAACCTTATGAAACTTATTAAATCCATCCTGCTCACTGATCTGCAGCCAGCACCCACATTCGACAAGAGTTATGTTTTACAAGCAACACCCCACACCCCCCTGATCAACAAGTTGTACTGCCAACAGCAACCAATGACCAATGAGAATTGGGCTTCAGAAACCCAACTTAAGCCACAGTAAGTCTGGCCCCAGCCCTCTGAACCAGGCACGTAGCCACATAATATAATTACAGGTTTGGGCCTCCCATGAAATTTACTATTTTCCTCTCGAAATCTTCTGCACCCCTTTGAAATTGATTTCTGACTACTGTCTGTTTTGTGCTGACATACCATTAACCCTACAGCTGGTTAGTATAGCCTGACTGGGTTTGACTGGTTCAAGTTGCTCTCAGCTAGTTTCTGTCTTTGGAAAGCACATTCTGGGCTGCTCCTCCCACCTCAAGGTTCACACGTCTCCCCTCCTTTCCCTCCCTCCCCTCTCGCTGTTTACAGTCTTCTACATCAAAGAACAGAGCAGAACATCCATTGATCTTTTCACCACCATGGTACACAAGGTCCACTTCTCCCTGTAGGTCTATACAGCTCCGTCAAAGTGGGCTTTAACCATATTTAGCCTTGTGATTTAAATGTGAACATAATATGTTTATTATAATATTTCAGCACATTGCGCTATACATTGTTTATTCAAGTTCTGAATTTTAATGTAATTAATTCTGATGAGGTCAATGTGATTTTTATTGTCACTGTTCACAGGGGCAGCAAAAATTAGTTTAGCAGCACTTTGAGTAAAAAAATATGCAAAAGTGCAAACAATATATAAACAGTAGGCCTACACAAACAAGCATACACTCAACGTATATGTAAACATACACACATGCATTGCACAACATATACAGTACATGTAAAAATGCAGTGTAAATATAAATTATGCAACATACAGAAATAATATTTTAATTAGTGCAAAATTGACGCAAAATTGATGCCAGCATGGTAAACTGCCCCTAGTCAGTACACACTGAACCACGGGGAAACTCTTAAATCTGTGCAGAGAAAGATGTTTTTCCAGTTTGGTTGTGCAGGCATGAAAAGACTTGTAACGTTTCCCAGATGGCCGGATCGAGTTCGAACAGGAATGGATTTTGTCTTTTATGATGCTGAGAGCTTTACGGCAGCAGCGGCTGGTGTTAATATCGTTCAGGGGCACGTTTACCAAAGGTTCCAGTTAGCAACCATTTAGTTGCATTACTTATGTGGTCGTTTCTTTTTAATAAAACAAGTCTCACTGATTTTCAATGTGGGCAGGACATAATGCTTTTGTATTTGTTTGGCGCCATCATGTGGTCGCGTGACGTGCATGTATTGCAGATGCGATTCTACTGAGGCCGCGAGCATGAGGCTCTACGTGACTCCGGTCATGAACAACGCAACTCCGCCCATTTTGAAAACGTGCGGGGATGCGTACTTCAAAGAAAGAAATATTATAATAATGTCTCTGTTGTTATACTATTAGGCCATGGACGAAAACGCAACGTTACAAAATGCGTGTCAATGTAAATTAATTAGAATAAGTATAAAACGTAAAAAAGATGTCCCTCATGTCATTTATCTTTTGTTGGAGACAGTCTGTTTATTGTCCACATTTCATATTGTTTATGCTCAGTATGTTTTAAATCGTGTTAGTGCTGGTGTTTATGCTCCAAGTTTATTACTGGATAATACAGGGTTCGTATCCTGGGGAGGGAATGTGAGCCTTTGTCCACTGGAGGCACCGGAGCTCAGAGTGCAGTGATCCACCTTGAGGGGAAAGAGAGAGACAATGCCACCATCTGCTTCTCCAGGCAGGCCTGCTCACACCTGCCAAATCACATGTCTTTTTGTGAGATCTCCTCACAGAAACAAATTCACGCATCATTTCATTGAGATCCCACTATAGAAAAGCGAGCTGTGCACATTTTTGCATAAAACAGAGGATGTGAATTCTGAAGAGCACGAAAATGACCATTTCTTCTGTTATTGCAGCTGTAGTATCAACTAAATGCTACTGGTGTACCATGTGCTCAGTTCTGTCAGTGTAAAAATGGAATCTCACCTACTTATTTATGTGCATGTTCAGTGCTTCCATTCTCCAGGGTCCCTAATCCCACCTATCTTGATGGGCAATAACTCAGCTGTATGATTCCACCTGTGCTGAATTATTCACCTTTAAACCTTATTTGTTCCACCTTCACCATATCACATACTTTCATGTTATTTGTGTATTTAAGGATAGAGAAAGAATGCATATAGCATTTCATTGGGAGAAGGGTGCTTTCAAAAAAACTTGGCTGTTGATCTCAGATTCAGCTTATTTGTCTGATGTTGCCCCGGACTTTCACAGTAAGGGGCAGGGACAGAGAAACACAAACCCAGGACAGCATGTGAGTTCAGTGTCTCACTGGTCATCTGTGGATCCTACTCTGCATGGAGGCCTCATGCAGATACAGTTCCTTTTAAGCTCCACGGAATGAATGCTGCTACAAATACAGCTGTGGACACATTCATCTTCCGCCTCAAGCCACTGTTGACATTTCTCTCTCTCTCTTCCGCTTTTGCAGCTTCCCCGGATTCACATACTCTCAGTCCTGTTGTAAATAAGACACAGATGGAAGAACACTGACAACCTACACCACAGACAGATTTAGGTGTGTGTGCTATACAGAGGTGCACCCAGGCCGGTTCAGAGGCCAATGGACTTTACAGTGGCCCTTGAATATATAAAATGATAAAATTATATAATGCAAGGGTGATATTGTGTCAGGGGGGCCCAGAGTTGCTAGCTACGGCCCAGCCCAATACTTGTAGCAGCTCAGACTATAAGTGTTTGTGAGATCACATTCACTTTTATTTATTTAGTAGATGCTTTTGTCCAAAGCTTTATACAAGTGAGGCAACTGATACATTACTACTAATATGTTTTTCTGAGATTTTTCTTGAAAGGTAAAAATAACACAGTGCATATAGGTTCAACATTCTGCCATAAAACAAAGACAGAAGGTATTAAACATGTCTGGTTTTCGACACTAACATATATTAAATTATACGAAGCAAGTTTATATCCTGCCTGATGAGTTGCTATCTGCCTGAGATCTGGTGAGGCTCATCAAAGACCAGGTAGGATAGTAAACCTGCTGGAAACCAGCACTCCAGGATCAGGGTTGCCTACCCCCGATTTAAAGGTTGTAATTCCCTTGGTGGGAGTTGTGGCTGCCCATGCTTCACGCCCCTCAAACATCTTTGACTGTAATCAGTTATTACATTTCAAAATGAAGCCGCATACTGGTTACAATGGTCAGCAGATTATTAAACTTTGTGGTCCTCTGAATATTCTTAATTATGAAACCATCTGCAGAGTTTTGTTTTGACTTTGGGAACAAGATGTGCCAAACAAACCGGAATATTTGTGGCTGACAATGGGTATAATACATGCCTATGTAAACAGAATGGCCAGCCCAGTTTCTCCTACAGAGAACAGACTGTTTTGTGCTGTTGTGTGCAAGAAGACTCGACCGGTCTTTGACGCAAATTTTCACACAGTTGTTGACAACACACTTAAGTGCGCGGCGCTTTTAACCGTTTCGTGTGGTGTTAGTAATTCTCGTAATAGCCGATAGGGGTCGCTTCAGTTAGTTAATGTTGAGGCCATTCGCTTGTGTTGAGGGTGTAGCCTGCCTGAGCACACAGGTAAATTTATGTTACTCGGGTGTTTTGTCATAAAAATTGCAAAATTTTATTAGAAGTTTGCAATTTGTTTGGTTTATGATTTAATTTGAAAAAGACTCAAGTTTGGGCAGTATACTCTGTACCAAGGTCGAGACTTTACTAATTACCCGTAGGTTAAAAGTAATTATAGAGTTATGACAATGCGCATATGCCGTCAATTGCCGAAGGTTATTATTGAATTGCATTTTCATTCAATCAATTACTTTAATTAATTAACGTAGGGCACAAAAATATTAGGCGTGAACACTGAACACGGCGTCATAAGAGCTTCGCCAGTCGGTAATCATGAGAGACTTGTGTGTTACTCATTTTTAGCGCCTTAATTGATAACCTTGGTGTGTTTGCATTCCTTTTTTCTTTGGACTGTTAAAGATATTTCACTGAACTCCACGTACAACTCGTAGTACAAATAGACTCACACGCCACGGGCTAAACCATGTGATTTCTGATTACGAGGGCGCTTGTTTCTTCTTTTTAATCATGGATAAAATCGTCAGTATAAACGCCTGAAATAGTTTATGTAATACAAAACACCAGGCCTGCTTTTACCCGCCATCATACCCGATATTTATGGTTTCATAAATGTTGGTATGAAACGGACCACAAACGTGGGTTAACAATAGTTTTTGTTTATATATATTTTTGCGAAAAAGGATTATGACTTAAAAAACATGGTCTGCGCATATTCCTATTACCTTCGTATGCACGGGTCTTGTGGCAGTATGGAAGCCTTTTCTGGCCTAGTTGAGGGGTCCTTCTAACTTTTAATGGAAGTGTGAGAAGAGAGCGGCGGTACCAGTTGTGCGGGGTACCTAGGGGATATTCATTTTTCTCAATTTGCTTTTGGTTGATTGTACCCTACTGGGAAAATTTATACAGTGGCGGCTCCAATGAACTTTTAGGGATGAGGCAGGACTCTGCTTTTAAACAGCTGTATTCTGCGGAACTTTACTGTGTCGAGTGCTAAATAGGTGATTGAACTTCCCGGAATCGACATTTTTTCCATAGAAATTACGAGTTTTCTTAGTTAAAATCGTTTTCTTTATTGAACAGATTTAAAATTCTACTGTACTTTTTACTACTGTAAAAATTTATGGAGTTACCAAGTCTATATAATAGGATTTGTAGACATTCGTTCAATTGTAGGTGATTACACCTACATAACATGATAGTCGCGTCATAAACTGTGAAGCATTTTATGATCGACGTCACTCGAAGCCAGCGAAGCCCACCCTTGGCACTGGCACTGAATTTCGGATAGTGGTGCCTATATGAAATGGAAATACAGCAAAACATTGTTGGCAATAGGGCTAGCAGTTGAAATGAACTTGTATAAAATTCGAAAATGTTTACTTTGCTTACCATTGTGGTATGTTTATTGGGGCAGGTGTATATATTAAGTTTTTTTTTCTTTTTTTGCAGGATCCTCTCTAGCTGTTCTGTGCGTTTGTTGATGAAGCGGACTGGTCTGAAAACCATATTTATTTCCTGTCCGGGGAATGCAATACGTGGCTAAAGTGCTTACCAATAACATGGAGAATTGTTAATACCAAACCCACTAAACGCATAAGAGTAATTGTTGTACATGTGCAGGCATATATATTTGTGTGGGTGTAGTCTTACTTTAATTTAGTGTTTATAAAAGGTATATATTTTATTGCTCACTAATGTATTTTCGGAGTATATTAGTTAATATTTTTAGTATAAACTGTCAGTCATAATATAACCTGTCTGTGTATTTGAGAAGACGTTTGTAAGCTTAAGAAGTAGGCCACGTAGGCTAATCCACGGCTATTGCTCTGCATTTAAAAACAGGTCTTGTAAAATGGTTTTCGCCTGCAGGCTCCTTATTCCATAAAAAGGAGAAAATGATCACATGCATTAAATATGGAGACAGTAGTACAACTGAAATCTAGAATATTATTAGGACAAAACAGGTTTGTTTATAACCATTTCTGTCTCATGCTGCATCTCAAGTTACTGTGTGGTTCCTATGGTGATGTAATTGACTCTTCACTGTCCAATCGGCAGACAGTTTATAAGTATGAATTGGCCAATTGCAGCAGAGGGGTAGGATTTGTTAGAACGCCACTATGGGGGAAAAATGCGTCCATCCCCCGACATCCAGGAAGCGGAAGTTAGATATGCAAGTACAGTTGCATTGTTGGATCACGATTTAGGAGGAATTTGTTTAAATATAACTAATTTGAGTTATTTTGTTTTATATTAATCACATAACCAGAAATATCTAGTATTGACATTCAGGCTAACATATTTTATAGAGATAGATAAAACCCATCCATGAACTGAAACTTTATAGCTGGGAAAGGCTTCTGGCTCGGTTCCATGACCCAGCATAGCTTCTCGGCCTTTTGGTTAAAATCAAGTGTAATATAATCTTAGCTAGATTTTGATGGTATGTGAATGTATTTCTTGTTTTTATTGCCTTTTTTGCTTAGTTTATGATGAATGGGTCTGCAGATATTTTGTTTAATACAATTTTAAAATGTCTTATTGTATTGGCATTGATTTGTATAATATGGGAAAATTTCAGCCTTTTATATTATGACTATCCCTCGGTATTATTGTTTTAGTTGGAAAAGGTTGTTTTAAATTTCCTTGTTGACAGTGCCAATTTTATAAGTGCAGATTTTATGTGTTTAAATGGTTGTGCAGAACATTTTAATCAAGTATTTAAAAACAAAAATCTGTTCTTATCACATTAGATATTGTGTTTGTTTAATAATATTTTAAGAATGTTTTATTATTAATGAATTATTGTGTTGGCATTGATTTGATTGATATGGGAAAATTTCAGCCTTTTATTTTATGACTATCCCTGAATATTACTGTTTTAGTAGGAAAAGGTTGTTTTATATTTCCTTGTTGACAGTGCCAATTTTAAAAGTGCAGTTTTTATTATATGTCTTAATGTATTTGTGTCTATGTAAATGGTTGTGCAGAACTGTCAAAGTATTTTGGGAAAAAAAAAAATCTGTTCTTATCAGTTTAATATCTGATACGTCCCCTATCTGGGGACCATATACAGTATTAAATTGATTTTTGGAACAGGGAGATGGAATAGGGGCTTGCTCCGTCCACTCCATGCATCAACCTGGTATTGCAGTGTCTCCAGGAATGGTGCACCCTTTTTCAGGGGAAAAGTATGGTGAAAAGAAAGTTCTGTTTTATCTGTAAATGTGAATGAGCTTATGTGTTTTTATAGGCAAAGAATGCCCTCTGCTGTTTGATTTTGTTCATTGTACTTGCATTTTTACAATAAGCTATTTACCGTGCTGTAACGAGTTTAAATGTGTGAGGTTTGTGTTCTTGTCAGCTTTGTGTCCAGGAGAGATAGGGAAAACTCTCAAAATTCTCAGGTCAAATATATTCTTTTTGGCCCTGTGTTTGCCCGAGTGTCTAAGTGCTTATGGTAACCTACATTGCTGCTGTCAGAGTGAAGTATCTAATGACAAAGGTTTGATAGTGACAAGTAAGCACAGTATTTCTCTCATTTTTAATGTCAATTTTTTCCTATGCAAACAGTTGACTGAAGTTCATGTGTGACAGCGCAGATTTACAAGAACATTACAGCAATAAACACAATACTAGTTTTCCAGTAAGTATATAGATCATTACATATTACAGTAAGACTACATTGACTAGTACATCCCTTGGCTTAGATATCACTGTACTACATTATCAATGGCATAGCAGCTGTTAGTTATTAGAGTAACTCTTTTCACAGATGTCAGAGGAACTATGTACTTTGACCAGGTGTCTCCTGGATCTGTGTCATTACTTTAATGTTCTTGTGGTGTGTTGATTCCAATACAGCAGTGAAGGATTCAGCTTTGTGTGTCAGTCTGTTACTAAGATCTCATATGTACTTCTGCTGAGAGAATGAAGCAGCCCAACTGTCCTAAGGTCTTGTTCAGTTTCACCAATCATAGAACAGACAGTGGTTTTTCACTGTGCCAGGCACCTATTTCATAGGCACATATTAGTCTTTTTGTCATTGGTGATATGACTGAAGTTATGGGCTAATGCCACAATTGCTAGAAATACTATTAAAACAGACATGGTAATGTGCACGACCAGTCAAAATTTTTTGCACACCACAGGTTTTTACCGGTTTCCCATTTATTTAAAAAACTGCATTTTTTTTCATTCTTAAGCATTGGAAAATTGAGTAAAAACCTATAAATGAAAATTTAAGTCAAATAAAACACGTTTCCTTTATAACATGGAAAGAATATGTAACAGTGCATGTCTGACATCCTATTAACTTTTTATGTGGTGATGGCAGAGTCAAATTCTAAGCTGTCCTTAACTTTAAATGCACTAGTTAACTGTTTCATCTCAAACAGCAGCATTTAATGTCCCTTGTAGAAATAACAGCAGAGAAAATTCGGCATTCTGACTGCTGCAGGAGGTTACTTTGATGAATCAAAGATATGACATTATCTTGCTAATAAAGGTATTCAAATGCTGAACATACCATAAATCTATTTGTTAACAAAGAGTATTTAATATATTTTCAGTAAAAGTTAAGTGTGACATGCAAATGTAGAATATCTCAGTGTGTGCGAAAACCTTTAACTGGTAGTATATGTAGCCACACTAAAACTCATGTTACCCATACATTGCATCATTTGAAGTTTATCAAAAGTTTTATTTTTATGCTCAGTCATAGTAATCTCACAAATTCACAGAGTATAGAAGACAAATCCGGCTCAGTTTCCTGTCTTTAGTTTCCAAACAGTGCAGTTTAAATAAACACCAAAGAAGGACAAATGTATATTGCAACAGGAAAATAGATTTTTTTTAAAGAAAAGTGAGAGCCCCATCACTAAAACCATTTAATAATTAATATTGACAAGTCTCACAATTTTATCCTTTTACCCAAAGATTCTTAAGGTCGGTCACACATATCAGAAGGTATTCATGTTTAATACAGTACAAAGACAGCATTCTTTAGAATTTATGCATACTGGCCCTGTTCTAAGCACCATTCTATAGGTTAACAATGTATTCCTGTATATGTTTATAAATCATGTATCAGTTCTGAAGAGGCAAGGGGAGATGAGCACCATTTAAACGAGAGTCTCCCAGTCACCCCTCTGAAATACCACACAGAATATGAACAGAAGATCATCAAATGTTACTTCAAACCCGAAGGAGAAGAGCATCAATGCGAATAAATAGAGACCGAGAAGTACATAAATAAATTCCAAAAATTAAAATTCCCGATAAAAAGACAAAAATGCCAAATGAGGTAAAACAAACAATTTGAATATAGTTAATAATAGTAGCAATATCAGAATAGTGAAACAGTCACTAAATAGGTGTATTTCAACAATCCAATCTTAAGTTTCAAAGATAAAATTATGTAAAATATGGAGACGACATATACGTGATTTGCAAATACAGATTAACGAGAAACAGTTTTCCTAGAACCCGTATGTTTTGAAGTATTTTGATACAATTTTTTTTCCTTAATGCTTTAGAAAAAAAGTATTAATCTCTATAATTACTATTTAAAATCTAAACAAATGTCACAAGGCCAATGTGGTAAACAACCAGGCTGTTTTAAACATTTCTCAAAAATATGCGAAATAAATAAAATTTAAAATAGCACCCCACAAGAAATACAAATAACATTTACAAATCCCAGGATTCACCTCAAAATCTGAGAACAAAACAGCAACCAATAGATCCAAGAAGCAGGTCACTGAGCTTCTTTAGCTGATAGACGGATTGCCCTGCCGTTCGCATAAAAACAATGTTGCCATGGCAATTGAGTAAGCACAGGCTTATTGTCTCCGTATGTAAACCCATCCTACTAGATTTGAAATTAGAAAAGGATGGACATGTGGGTGTGGTTCCCTGATATTCGGTTAAATCAGACCAACCTCTGCAGGAGATTGTTTGTGTCTCACTTTAAGGTTCACACTTTTCTGGTGTCGGCTCCACAAGCATGTTTTCCTGGTGCTTCTAAGCACAGGAGCCATTCCTGTTATTCTATTTTCTGTGGTTAGAAAACCAATCAGCAGCTGATGGAGGAGGGAAGACAACAGTTTCTTAGCTGATGCAGTGTTATGTAAACAATGTTGAGTAAACAGATTTTTGATTGGCTGATTCAGCAAGTATTAGCAGTCGTAGTATCAAAAAAACTAAATAAATACGATATCTTGTGTTCTCCAAGCGAGTTTTGGTTATGGCTGTGAAGGGGACGGGGGCTCTTCTCACCGCGAACTGGGAGCTGGAGACTGAGTGAGAGACAGGGATAAGAGATCAGAGTGCTTTGATATGAAGGGACATACAGGGAGCTCAACTCTGCATACAGTTTCTCACCAGAGTGAAGTTGTCGTATACGTTCATCAGTTCTTCCATGCGGTATTGCTCCAGCACCACCACCCCAGAGAGGTTCTGGCTGCGCAGGCGCGCGCAGTCTTCGCAGTGCACCACGTACGTCTTCCTGCTGCTGCTTTCGCTGGTCACAAATAGCAGGTTAAACACCTCCACCTGTGAAAACATTCAGAGGCCTTAAAATAGGCAGGAGTAACACTCTCTTGCATTACAAAGCAGATCTTGTAGATAAGCAGGAAGTGCTCAAGAGGCTGGATGATGGGATTTTCATGTCAAATCCCGTATTGGGTCAAACTCACATCACATTCGTTGCAGTAGTAGGCAGGCTCGTCCTTCACCCGGCTTTGGTAGGAGATCTTTTTTCCAGCCGCCACCAGCTGGTCCCGCAGAATCTGGATGTGCTTGATGGACTGCAGGAGGCAGTGTCTAAGGGGGCATAGAATGATAGCAGCAGTTTGGATAGCAGTGCTCTTGCAGATCCTGCTGGTGGAACTCGTGCACACACACAAACACAGTCGACGCTCCACTCACTTGATCATCTTGTAGGTGTCCGGGTCAGTGATCTTTACAGTACGGGCCACGTTCCATGAGACATGGATCATGGGCACTATGGATTTGACCTTCTTGACCTCATTCCATTCAAAGCGCTCCAGGGCCAGCTGGTACTGGTAGGCTATATGAACACAGGAGCAAACGGTCAATCTGCACGTCCTGATTTTGCCAAGTTCGATGTGTCTCTGGGTCATCAAGGGAGGAGACTGATTGGTTAAAGAAGTGAAATGCAAGCCCCAGGGACACATCAAACTCTGCAAAATCTGGATGCCCTGGTCAATCTAGTCTAAACCACTAGCCTGCCCATACAGTACGACTAATGAAAACCATGTACTGTAAGAAAATTTTAAAAAAAATAGTCGATCATCAGGAAATTTCCTGTTGCATTTATTTAGCACAGCATTTTCCAAAGCTAAATGCAAGTGAGGATCGGAGAGCAGCATCAGCCACTGTCCCTTAAGCTACTGGGTACAGGGGTTTCCTCAAGGGCCCAATGGTATTATCACACTGCCTACCATGGGATTTGAACCAGTGACCTTGTGATTTCTGGCACAGAGTTCTAAACATACAGAGTCACACACCATTAAATGCCTATTAATTGTAACTCTTCTTGGACTCACAATTCAGTGGGCCCACATTCCAGGCAATGTTGTTGCACCAGCCCACAGCTTGGACCCAGTGTACTGTGCCAGCGTTAATCCACACCAAGTCCCCTGGACGCTGAATGAACCGGTACACTGGGATGTTGGATCGGTACAAATCCTCTAGGACTGGCCACCATGATCCTGTCAGGTAATCCACCCCATGCCTTGAAGTGAGAAAACATTTCATCAAATCTCTGCTAAGTGCTGCCTCGTACTTATACAGGTATTATGTATTTGATGCTTTATTAATATCAATATCTTGGTTTTGCAAAATGTAACCCCAGTTCCGGTCCTGGATTTCCCTACTCAGACATATCTTCTGCAGCTCACCAGCTAATTGCCAGGTGTAATAGGTGTGTTTGAGCATGGAAGTTTGCAAACGGTGTCACAGACTGGTTGGCCAGGACCGGAATTGGGGAACCCTGGACTACAAAACTGAATATTTCGCAACGTGCCAGCAAACGGCAGCAGGATGGAATGCTGTGTCACTCACTGTTCGCAGAAGTCATTGATGGCCTCCCAGTAGTTCTCATGCACAGCAAACCATTCGCAATCGCCTGGTCCAATGTTGATGTTCACAGAACAGAAGTTGTTGTTTTCTTGATGGCCTGAGTGTGACAGAAACTTATGGTTTATAGCTGCATGTGGACAGGTGGTGGGTAACGGAGGGAGATCATGTGCAGCATAAGGAGGTACAGCAAACCAGAAAGAATCATACCCAGAGTGAGACAGGCACACACCTGGGGTACGGTACCCATCCCATGATGAGACAGGCACACACCTGGGGTACGGTACCCAGGATGAGACAGGCACACACCTGGGGTACGGTACCCGGAATGAGACAGGCACACACCTGGGGTACGGCTCCCTGGGACCTTCATGTAGAGCTGCACGGTGTTCATGCCCAGGATAGTATGGCCCACATGGCTTAACATATTCCCATTGGATGAAACACGCATGAAGGCTGGAAGCTTCAGAAGCTCTTGCAGCTGTGGCTTCCACCTGGGGTGGAGATTTGGGGCCGTGTCAACTGTCGCTTTCAATAACTCCCTGTATGTTCTTCCCCAGACTAATGGACTGGTAAGTTTTTAATAAACCAACAGTAGGTGGATGGGTGGGATTAGCCTATTGGGCAGGCACCTGCATGAGGGATACAGCTGTAGAGTCTTACCTCTTGGGGTCAGAGAGGTCAATATTGGTGCCAAACTTGATGATCTTTCCAAGCGGTTTCTGCTCCGTGCTGTGAAATAGAACCCAGGGTTTAAAATACTGATTTTCTGCTGCTTGCAGTAGCTTGTGATAAACCGACAGTAATTGTTCATTCATTTGTTCATCAAATGAGTACAATAAGAAAATAATAAAACTGGTTTTATTATTACAACCAGGCTGAGTGACAAGTTTTTGCTCCAGATGGCTGGTTTAGGACTGGGACTGTACCTGGGGGTGCCTGTGTTGGTAGGTACGTTGGCTGTAAGATCTGGGTTATGGCCTTGTTCCTCCTCCTCTTCCTCATCCTCACCGACTTCCTTCTCCTCCTGCAGGAAGGTCACACACTGGACTTCAGTAAGGCTTTTTATGACTTTGTCGCATTCTTCCATTTTACCCCATGTACACATACTGACTCGTACAACGACCCTGTTAAACACCATGTATTTTAGATCATTTAAATTATTTAAAAATGTTTCTGACATCACATCCTTTCGCAATGCGACTATTGCACCTGTACCCATGGCGATGTGATGATATCCATCCCAACCCCCCTCCCTGTCGCTACTGGGGCAAATTTGGTCCCCTCCCCCAATATAAAACTCCTGATGCCACTGACCCATAATTTTATGCAAATTATGTTTAATTTATGCCAATGTTAATACAATTGCTGCTATAGGTTTTATTTTTATTGGTTATTTTATTATTTTTATTTTATTTAAATTACTTTATTGTTCTTATAGTTCTATCTAAATCTCTTCTATCATCTGTACATAACTTTCCTAAATATTTTATTTTCATCAGGAGTTTGTTTTTGTAATTTAAGAGAATTTCCCCATGGGGATTAATAAAGTAATTCTGATTCTGATTCAAAGTGTCATTCTTAGTTAAAAATAGCTGGAGGAGACTAAGATATACTTGAGTGGTTTAAACAAAGGATCAAAGCCGCAATCAACCTAATAGTGGCATTTTAGGAAAGTGAAAGTTAGGAAACACACCTGCAGGCTCTCCTGGAAAGATGAGGCCTGGTACTGTGCGTACTTTGCAATGGTGGTGTGGGAGCGGCTGCTTTCACAGGGCCAGGTTTGGGTGGAGCCACTGGGATCCCAGTTCTCATCTGCCGGCTGCTGGACTTGAGTTCGTACCTCCACTGCATGTTCCCCATTGGCCTCTACCAGTGACTTGGTGGAAAACAGGCCTAGACCTGGAGAGTGGAGATCTGTTCATGTCTCAATAATATATATAAGTGTCCAGTGTGTGTTAATGAGTTGTTCAGTTTTGGGAGTGAGCTGCACACATTCAGGCCGGTAGGGTGAAGGGAACCCGCGGTGTGATAGTGAACTCAGCGATGCCACGTGCTGCGTGGAGATGTCAGACATCCTGATTTTCAGTTCAATGTGTTCCTGGGTCAACATGGGAGGGGTTTACGTTTCACATCTTTATCCAATCAGTCTTCATTGTATGACATCACCATATTGGTCTGTTTTACCTCATTTTCAAAATCCGGGCTTCCAGCCTTCCGACAGCAGTGTGTGGATCAGCAGGCTACACCTCTGTGCTTGTGATTGGAAGGTTGCTGAAGCCTTCTTATTATTATGTTATTATTATTAAAGACGCACCCTTACATTGCCGTGTACAGCCTTATACGCACCCTTACATTGCCGTGTACAGCCTTATACGCACCCTTACATTGCCGTGTACAGGTAACCATAATCCAGTGTTTTCTCTATGTTTATCTTGCAGCTTAACAGAAAACACTGCATTTCATTAATGCAGTGATGTCATACAAAGACTCTGATTGGTTAAAGAAGTGAAAAGCAAGCCCCTCTCTTGTTGACCCAGGGACACATTGAACTTGGTAAAATCAGGACGTGTTGGAGATGCCACGTGGTGTGATATCATGGGCTTGAGTGAGGAGCAGTGTGGGGTAATGGAAGGGGCAGCACTGTGGTGACTGAGGAACTCACTGAGACGCAGGGAGCCGGCCAGACCTCGGATGACAGTGATGGGATTTTTGGGGTCAGTGCAGAACTGCAGCAGCACTGGAGAGAAGGCATCCCTCTTGCTCTCTAGCTGCAGGAGCACAGACGTTAAAACCTCTCAAAGACCATAACTCAAGTGCAGATGTCACACAGTGCTATACATCATGCACCGTTCAGCACAGAGACACTCTCTGCCAGATGCATGTTTATATGACAAGGGCATGTGGGAAAGAAGATGCCGAATGTGAGACAGATGGGTTATTTTATGGAGTCACTTGAAATTCAAAGGCAAAGCAAATAAGTCATCTGGGAAACGGGACTATAGGTCAGACTGTATATGGGGATGCAGGAATAACCGCAGAAGCATTTCAGCAGGATACTGACTAAGCTTTCACAAGGAAAAGCGAGTTGCCTGCATGCGTGAGGATTACAGGTCTTCATGGGATGCTAGGTAAGGACATTTTACAAGCAAAAATCACTTATGTCAGTCTTACATAATTGTCTAAATCTCAGTTTAGCAAAGGGGAATGAGGGGGAAATTCGTATACAATGTCATGAAGTCAACTGTGATACAAAGCAATTGAGATTTGAATTAAGAAAGTATTTTACACAAAAGGTGATGATGTTCTGAATAGCCTCCCGTGTAGCGCAGTGATATGTGGATATTAAATACTCACATAGATGCTTGGGGTGGGGGGATTAAGCTTCTCCCGTGGAATAGGCATGCTGCTGACCATCTTGGGCTTGACAGAGAATGCTGGGAGCAAATAGGACTCTCTGAATTTGCCTTTCACCCTTGCTCCCCTGGAATGGCAGATGAGAAAATTTTTTGTCATACCCAGGATATGGTAAGTCAAAAGGGTAAAAGTATAAAACAAAATGCGGCAGGCAGTAACAAAACCTTAAGCATTGAAGAAACATCCTTTCAAGTCTCCAAACTGCTTACCTGCAGGCTTGGACAACCTCAGAAGCTGTGTTTTTGATGGTAATATCTGAGAGTGGGATCCTCTTCTCCTCAACTTCAGAGGCGATGAAGGTTTCCCTGTTGCCGCTCTCTACCTTGATCAGTCGTATTTTCAGTTCTCGGGGAGGTCCATCTGACAGGGCCTTCAGTTTCAGTAAGTCAGCAGCACCCAGAGTTGGGGGCCCATTGGTAGGGGTACCACTTGTGGGGGTCACTGCTGTTGTTGATGCTACACTTGTAGCTGTGCTGCTACCAGGGGCGGCTACGGATCCTGTGCTACCTGCGGCAGGAGACTCACTTTCTCCCTCCTCCATTCTCTTGTCGTCAAGCTGCACACACCCTTCATTGTCACCAAGGGCTGTCCTCCTTTGGGTCTCCTGTACCCCCTTGGTCTGCAGGTCAAGGTTTCCCAGGACCTGCCGGGTCTTCCGGTCTTTGCGCGACTTAGTCTCCTTCAATCGCTTGTTAGACATGGACCGTGAGCTGGACCCCAGAGAGGCAGTGGATGAAGAAGAGGAAGAGCAGACTTGAGTCCCTTCCTTTGTTCCTCTGTGCTTTTTCTTCCTCTCTGTGCTTTGCTGTTCTCTTCTGCTGCGCGTGCTGCTCTGTTTGCGTTTTTGACCCTTCTCCCTCCCTTGCCCTTTGCCTTTTGGTGGTTCTGCAGTGTCCTCCACCTCCCTTTCCATCTTGATCCGACCTCCAGCTCCATTTGGGAGGGGATGTCGGGTAAGCAGGACCTCACAGCTGCGACCCAGTTCCTTCAGTGAGGCTCTTGGGATAGAGGTTAACTTCAAGTTACAGTGAAATGATGTAGTTGGCAGTCCGAAGGGAAGAGAGGATGATGAAGAAATGTTCTTTGTCTCTGTCCCTGATTTCCCACACTTCTCTTTCTTCCCTCCGTCTTCTAAAACAGCTACTTTCTTTTCATCATGCTCTCCCCCTGGCTCCTGGCATTCTCCTTTAGGCAGATCAGTGTAGGCTGGAGTTTGGCTGGAATTTTGCCCAGGAAGGGTAGTAGGTGAGGTGCACACCTCGGGGCAAAGAGAGAGGGATGAAGAGTACTTGACCCCTGCAAGGGCATTAGGTGGAGGTCTGCCAAAGGGGCCTCCACGGTAGGTATATCTCTGGCCTTCCGGAGCAGAATCCAGTGATTCAAACTTTCCACCCATCCCTGTCTGGTGAAGGTGTGGCCTCTGGGACATCTCTTGTGAGTTGTCATCTTGCTCTGACTCTTCTTCTTCTTCTTCATCCTCCTCCCCCTCACCTTCTTTGGGCAAATCCGGCAGTCCATAGAGCTTGGCAAGGTCACTACGGCGGTAGCTGGTTCCCACTTGTGGCAACCTTGATGGGCACTGTGTGGAACTGAGATTCAAAGTATGCTTAGATATCCTCCGGTCATCGTCTTCGTCATCCTCCTCACAAGGCAGAGATGCTAAGGAGCCCTGCCTGCTAAGCACGGGAGGGCTGGCAAGGGGATCCGGCCCCAGGTCATCTCCACAGTGCAGCTTAGGGGCAGGGAGGAGGTCAGGGGCACAGAGAGGGTCTCCATGGGAGAGCGTTTTGTCTTCCTTTTGGACAGGTTCATCCAGCAGGCACATGACAGAGAGCAGACCATCTGGTCGAACATTACACAGCTCAGAGGGTTCATCTTCAAAACGAGTCCCACCTGGAGTTATGCGCTTACAACTAGATGTTGGGGAGGCTAGAGCATCCTTGTCAGAAGTCAGAATCTCCTGTCTGGGTGTCAGTGGAGTCAATGACTCCTTGCTGGAGGTTAAGAGTTTTAAAGACTCCTTGTTGGAGGTCAGGGATTTCAAAGGCCCCTTAGTGGGTGTCAAAAGCTTCCTAGTACAGTTATAGGGTCCCTTGATGGAGGCTACAAGTTCTTTGCTGGCTGTCGAAGGTTTGAAGGTTTCCCTGATGGAACTGCTGCTGGTGCTCTGGTGGGTCTCCAGGCGGGAGCCCTTGAGGAAAAGTTGGGGTAATTCTTTTTCCCGCTCTTTGTTAGGACTTGTAATAATCTCCAAAGTGCTCTTGGCATTAGGACCCTGTGATGCAAAAGTCCCTCTTCCCTCCCTCTGTCTTTGCTTCTCGCGTGCAGATGCCGTCTGAGGGGTCAGTGGTGGTGGCCCATGATTCTCTGAAGCCGCAAGGACAGGAAGGGCCCCGGCACGGCTCAGCGATGGGTAAGGAGATGGGTTGCTGGGGGGAGAGGCCATCAAAGGAGAGGATGGCTTCTCTTCCTGGCTGCTCTCCTTCTTTTCTTCCCCTGTGTCTGTCTTCCTCCAACTTCCCTCCTTTTTTTCCAGCTCATCGCTCTTTGTGTTCTTGTCACTTCTTGCCATAATCTTCTCCTTCTCCTTCTCCCGCTCCATTTTCTCCTCCTGCAGCTGTCTTTCCTGAGCTTGAAGGTGTTCTTGTAGCTTTGCCTCCAGCCTATCCAGCGCCTCAGCCATGCTCTGCGGGCAGGATCTGGTGGCGGCTGGATCAGGTGGGCCGTGTGGCGAGCGAGGCTGTGAGCCATTCGGTCTGCTGGTGATGCCGTTCTCCTCTGACATCTGGTATCCTGAGCATGCTGAATGTGGGGGTGATGCTGGAGAGCGTCCAGAGGCGATAGAGCAGCCATATGCGGGTGGGGCGTTTTCTTGAGATGCTGACTGCAGTGAAGGGGGTTCCAACTGTCTAATTCCACTACTGCTGCAGGTAGTGCTATCCACTGGGGAGATGTCAGAGGGTGCAGTGGGCTTGGCTTGGGTTAGCACCACCCAGCTGTCACTCTGAAGAGAGCTTGATTGGCTTAGTGGTTCAGTGGATGTGGTGGTGCTGCTCATTGGGTCTCGAGGGCCAGTTTGTGAGGGGTTTCCACAGACAGGCTCCCTGGGCGCCTTATCAACCCGGTGCTGCTGCTGACCCTGAGATTCTATCCCTGCCCTGGAGGGACCCATGTCCTGTGAGAAAGAAGTGGTTAAACACCCCGACTGATACCTTTGCACTTCTGAAACATGTATAGTCCTTCATCCACATGCATTGCCAGAGATGAAAAGTTCAGTTCCAGAAATAACAAATCCAGACCAAGATTTTGTTTCAGCGAGCCAGTCACAGAGTACTCAACTGCTTGGCTGAAATAAAATCTTGGTCTGAATTTGTGAACTTTTCCCGAACTTTCCACCTCTGTCCATTGCAGCTTGACAGACAGGCAGATTAATGAGGGGTGGGGGTGAGGCTCACCAACACGCTCTTTCCACCTCTGCCTGCTGGCGTCCAGCCTTCGACGGGGTCCAGATGCTCGGGTACTGTGCTGCTGCCAGTGGGAGGGGCTGGCTGGGAGGGACTGTAAGGCACGCCGGTGAGGCTCGCTGGTATGAGGTGGGGCCTATCGCTCACCACCCCCCGAGGAGTGGGGCAGGCTCGGGGCTCACGGCTATGGGTGGGTGGACAGGGCGGGGGTGTGGATTTGCTGGGCTGTGCTCCGTGTCGGGGGGCATAGTTCAGTGTGGAATGTGGGGTTGGGGACCCTGGCCAGGGCCTGCACAGTGGGGGTCTGTATGGGGGCCCTCCCAAAGACGGACTGGAGGACTCCTGCTGGATTGGAGGTAATGAGGATGTTAGGCATGAAATACAGGACTGTGTCGGATTATCAGTACCAACACAGCGGCCAATCAGTGTGCAGGCTCACTTGCCCTGTGATTATGCTGTTAGTCTGCGTTTCACACATGGGCATATAGCATGGGAGTCAAGAACAAGCACCTGCGATGGGAAGGTGAGTAGATCAAATCCCGGGTTGATCTGCTGTACCACTGAGTAAGATACAAAACCTGAACTGCTCCAGTAAACTATCCAGCTGTACAAATGGAGACAGCTGTTAGTCACTGTGGGGAAAAGTGTCAGGCTCTTTTTAAGGAAAGGGTGGTGACAGGGACATCAGAAATACCTGGAACTCCAGAGGTCCAGCCTTCCTGTCGTTCTGAGCCCAGGCTGCTTCACCTTTATGGGTAGGGTTCCGGAAGGCCCATTTTGGGGACATGTGACGAGCAAAGGGGGGGGCTGGCGGTGCAGGGTGGCTCTGTGTTGGGAATCGTTGCAGAGTTGGGTGGAAGACCTGGAGAACGAGTAGGTAGTTCAACATTTGCTTCTCATGGTGGAATTGATCGTGTCCAGCAGTGGGCGCTATAGTGCTGACAATAGGGGGTTTGTGGTGGGGGTAATTGAATCCACATGGATTATCCTACAGAGACCCTCCTTTCCAATAAAGCCTTTGAAGCTAAATGAAGTGTTTTATGCTATGTGAGGCTGCTGTCCCTCATTCCTTGTATGTAATTTCAAAGGCTGACTTTCTGAACCTGAATTCCCTGGTGCTTAAGATGGTGAGGTGGTGGGGGGGGGATGCTGACCTGCTCGGAGCTGGAGCTCCTTATCCTCTTGCTGGGGCAGTTTTCAGCAGGGGGAGGGGTGTGCTGTATGACGGAGTGTTCTGTGTGGGGGGGGGCGGGCCGCTTCAGGTGTCCGCCCATCATTTTTCCTGGGCCCCCCCTGCACTGCTGAGTACATGAACCAGTACTGTGAGACTCACTGGCAAAAGTGCGAGTCTGTTTCGGAGCAGTGGAGGAGAACTGGTAAGAACACTGTGGAGTGTCCCAGGGGCTGCGACAGGCCCTACCTGCTGGGGGGGGCTCCACATTTCTCCCACAGGGGTGTGATTTCGGGGGTGATGAAGCTGGTGAGGAGCCCCGTACTACAGAAGAGGAAGAGGGTAGTCAAACCAAAGTAAACTGGGTGAGATTCGTTTTTCTGGTGATTACATTGTTACCCGCTCTTACCCTAAGCTGGTGATGGGCCCGCGGGCTGGGTCCATATCCGCCATGCGGGTGAGGGCCGTTCTGGTAGCAGTGGTTGAGGACTCTAGTCTGATGCCCATGTGGCTGCCAAGGCCCCCGGTGGAGGAGTCGCATGTCCCTCTGCACCCCCGGGCCCTGTAAGCCCCCCTGCTCCAGCTGGCCTCCACTGCACCCTGGGGAACTTGGAAAATCGGCAGCTTTTACCAGTCAGACCACATGCGAGTGTGTGACAGAGACTGTGTCCGGCCTTGGCCGGCGCTCACCTGTTTTTGTGGAATTTGCGAGGATGGCTCGGTCCAGTCATGTGACATGGGGTCATGTGGGGGGGGAATTGGGGTTGGCTGCCAGTGCACCTGGACACAAACAGATGCCGGATTACAAAGCCGGAAACAGCGGTGACACTCTCAGTGTCGCTTCTCCCTGTGATCCCTCTCCTCCCCCAGTGGTACTGCCCCCCTACAGTAATGGGAAGGCAGTCGGCCACTACCAAAAAGGGCTGAAAAAGGGTGACCATGAAAAGAGCCTCCGTCTCACACCTTAGTTTAACCAAAGTAATTATAATGACTCATCGGCACCTCAACATAATATTCAGCAGGTAACCAAACAACATAGAAGCCACTTCACTGACAAATGAAAGACTGTTACTACACATGACAATGAATCACACAAACACAAGCCACAAAGAGATAAACAGTGATGGACTGTAATGGCAAGTTCTCATGGGGTCAAAGGTCAACGTTATAATCAGTGCCTTTAAAGCTTGAATATTGTTGGATTTAGGAGAGAGGATTCACATGTAGAAGAGTAATGCATGAGCTTACCTTGTGGGTGGAGCCCGAACCCATGGCCCCCGGTATGGTCTGTCATGTGGGTAGGGGTCCCGTGTGCCACGCCCACTGAACTGATCCACTGAGTGATGCATTCAGCCTGGCCGGGGGGGGAGGGTTCACAGGTGAGACAAATGCACAGATGTATGCTCACACACACACACACACACACACACACACAGGTTTATATTCACACCTCTGTGGAGACCGTCCCTTCATTTCTATGGGCAAAACCCTGATCCCAACACTGAGAACCTTAACCCCCACCCAGCCCTAACCTTAACCATAAGTAACCAAACAAAATACAAGTCATTTGGTATTTTTAGATTTTTGATTGCAGTCACAGATGTTTTGTGTTGAGTTTCCTCAAAAAAATGGTTCACACAAGGTCAAAATAACAGGCTTTTATCATATTATGGGGACATTTAGTCCCCGAAGTGTAACATATACATAAGCCACACACACCACTGTCCATGAGACTCACCGTGAAGCCCTCCACTGTAGCACACAGGGCTCTGTCAGTCTGTGTGTGCACTCAGCCTCAATCCCTTGCTCTCTGTTGGACAGAGGCAAAAATGACTCTTGAAGCTGCAGTTTTTCTTACTTTTTATTGTATACATTATACATTGTTCAAGTCTCCCGCAGGCTCAGGGGAAACCGGTACGGCTCCAGCCTTTACACCAAGACCCTTACTGACGTCTGGCTGGACGTCATGTCTGATTTCATGGAGTTATTCTTGTGAAATAGGACTGGCACCCGTCAGCAACCCTTGATCACGACTCCACCCATGAATGACAGCTTCAGTGTGATCATCCCCTCCTTCACTCACCCATTCCCTTGTTGCACATGTGCCCCCGTCAGCCTTGCCTACCTAATAGGAATCTTACCAAGTCTGACAATCAACTTTAAATACAACCCAGTATTCATTCGTTTCATCCGTCCATCCATCCATCCATCTTCTGAATGTTTATTCAGTACAGGGTCACAAGGGAGCCTGGATCCCACAACCATAGGGCACAAAGCAGGGGGTGCCCTGGATGTTATTCCCGTTCTTTGCAGGTCACTTTCCTGGTACAGTCTGTGCCTGGTTGTGGTACTTGAAGCTCCATCTTACCTCCAGTCTCACCAGAGGATCAGCTGCAGATGTCAATCACCATCCCTCTGGGATTCGCTCTGCTGTCAGTCTGGGGGTTAGAGAGAGAGAGAGAGAATTCTTATTTATGAGTATGACAGGCATAGGCAATATAACACACACACACACACACTCTCCGATCACTACAGTCTCCCATACACACACATGATTTGTTCCATTATTTTACCACACTGCTCTCAGTTTGTGCCACTCCCATGTGCATAAACACAAAGTTCCCATGAAAATGGGGAAAACCCACCTTTACCTCTAATGTAATTCTAATCACATTTATTTTTATATCGCGCCTTTAATAACAGAGTCACCCCAGAGACACTTTACATGGGTGTGTGGTAATAAATTCCTACATGATTTATACAGAATATTATATGAAAGAGGGGAAAGATGAAGACAGAAACAAAGCTAGAAGACAAGAGGAGAGGAACCTAAAACTTCCAAGTAGTGAGAAAAAAAACCTCTGATAGTCCAAGGTCAACTGGCTGTGTAGCCCCCTCTGGGTGGGCTGACATTACAGAAAAACAGAAAGAGCGGCTTGCCTCCTAAAAGCACGGTGTGAACTGAGGTCAAGATCAAAGCCAAAGTCCATCAATGAGTCAATTTTCTGTGCCGGCCTGTGGGAATCTGCAGATAGAAAGCGGCACCCGTGATGTCACAGTTCGTATCATGATGTATCACTGTTTGCCATACTCATCAGCTTTTCCTGGTTCCAGTGACACACTGAAGTAAAAGTAAGGATGCACATTTCTGCTTGTTCTATACAGTGGCCATTTTTCTTTGGTGCGGGGGGGGGGCGGTTGGCTGGAGTATATTTGATGCACTAATGAGGTCTGTTGTAGATAACAGTGCCTGACAACAGTGCTTGATAATACTGCATTACCAGAATGCCAGAATGTTTGTTTAAGCACCACATCTCTCCCTCTCATTCACGCAAAAACAAGCAACAGGGCAGTGCCTTTTCCTGTAGCTCCCTGTAGCTGCCTGAGCCCAGCTGTCCTACACAGTTAACTGAGGTTTATATTTTTAAACTCCCAATGTCTTGCGACTGTTCCTTCCTGTCCAGATCTAGAAGGTCTCTGTAAAGCAGTGTACACATTCAGTTCAGTTGTGTCACGTAGGACAGAGATGAAGAAAAAACACAAGTTCGGAAATCAAAGTCGTCCATTTTTCAGGCTCACCTTATGTTTGATTATGTACTTGAGATGATTGTATTGGCTGTAGCTTAGTGGCCATCACTCTGCACTGTCTTTACACGAGTCTATCATGAGGCTAAATGCATGAGCAGACAGGAAGCTGCGGTCATAAGCACAGGAAATGCGCTGTATACTACGAGTTTTCCTGTTAAACATTATTAGGAGCTGTCTCAGTGTCTGGCTGGCCCCAGTGCCACTGCTCACCACGCACATTCCCTCATTTAACACATCCGCTGCCCCTGCCCACACAAACACACTCACACGCGCTTACTGTCACCTAAGAGTATGTGTTACTTGTTGCCGCTCACCCTGCAAACACGACGGGAGGAAGAGTGTCTATTTACAGTGGCTGGCGATAACATTTCTGCCCGTACGGCAGCTCCGTGCCATTTCTCGAGTTGATCTTTATCTCCTCGGCGAGTTTACGCATTTGCCCTTTAACCCCCCTATAGGTCAAGCAAGGTAAGACACTTTTAAAATTAAAATCTGCAGTATTTAGGCTCTGAGTTTCCTTTCTCTGTTGATGTGCACACGATTAACTCTGATCACATAACAGGGGTAGGGAAAAGAACAACAGTGATCCTGGGTGGAGACTGCTCCACTTTCCGAGATAAAAGCTACAACTCTCACAGAGACTTTTGGCGCTTCCATTTTCTGTAGCAGGAAAGCCACATTCATAGCCTGTTATTTTCAACCACAAAACCATTGTCAGTTTGTCCCTGTTCTCATATGTATAGAAGAGATAAGCCTAAAGGTGCTGCTGAATGGGTTATGCGGCTTTGGTTGCTCTGACCTTATTTCTCGGGTTATAAACCCCTATTTCCCTGCCAGCGAAGCCATATGTGGCTGACCTAGTGCAGGCAGTACCTCAAGAGCGGGACCTCAAATGCTTCCGCTTCCTGGTAGCTGCTCATGCTCCGATTCTATTTATCTGAAGGCAACATATTTTTATAACATATTTAAATCACTCAAACACAAACTGCAGTGCTCAGAAGGCTGCATCTGAAATCCTCTTGACTTTCCTGTATTTAATCTGCATCTTGAAGCCAGCTGGGTATCATAATATCCAATACAAGACTCCTGTCCTTCTCATAGATGTGATATCAGCCACTGCAAGCACATTACCAAATATGGCCCTGGTGTAATGACCGGGAAGAACGTGCGCAAAGTTTATGGGGGGCATTTATTTCACACAGTACGGTAATTTTGTGTTATGTATATTGCATAATGTGAAACATTATAATAGCACTTTGCAGGGAAAAGAAAAGCTATTGTGTGATGCTGGGGGGGGGGGGGGGCTGTGTATGAATGTGTTCTGGTTTTTAAGATTATGTATACTGTCAAAACCTAATAAATATATTGTTAAAAAAATATGAAAATGTAGTAAAAAAAATATGAAAATGTAGTTAAGATGTATGGGATTCATATTCTTGGGATATGTACAGCACTTCACAAAAAAATAGCGCAATAAATATTTAAATAGCAACGACAGCCCTTTAAATTTACTGACAGGGTGAAGCTATGTGTGCAGCCTGTAGGCTAACAACTGGGTCTTTTCTCCAGATGGGTTTTGATTCATTTGCTCAGCTCACTGATTCATGAAGTGAACACTCCTTTGGGGACGGGGAGGAAGCCGTTACCTCCATATTCCCAGGCCTACTTCTCCTTTCTACCTCCTGTAATGACCGTTTCTTTGTACCGGAAGGTCATCTCCATCTGCACCATTACACCTGCACTTCTCTCTGAAGTGCCTTCACACCTCTCTGTGAAGCACCTTCACAGAAACACAAACTGCTCCTTTCCGCGTTAGCAAACGGCCGGGCTGGACATTGGGTTTCAAAGGAATTTGAAGCTAAGAGAACAGTATTAAGGCACGAAAAACTGAAGGGTTATGTATAGAATTATGTATAGCCCATTATAACCAGTTAGAGAGGTTCATCAGTCATGTTGATAGAATTAGAGTGTGGGCAGGTACACTTCCGTTGCATGTACTCTTTGTCGTAATTACACTAGTGTTTCTTGTAGATACGTTTACCTTCGCACAGCTATTCATGAATGTGGGGCTGTAGATAAGCTCCAGTCTTTCTGTGGGTGAGCAGGCCGTGCTGTTATTTAGAGTAGTCCGGTCCTCGGGGACCCGCAGACCAGTTCATGTTTTTGCTCCTTCCCAGCTTCCAGTAGGGAGCAAAAATGTATGCTGTCTGGCAGGGAGTTGGGAGGGAGCAAAAATGTGGATTATCTGCGGGTTGCTGAGGACCGGATTGGGAAACACTGTGTTAGACTGTCACTGGTCTAACAATTGCTCCTGAGCAACCAAAGAAGGGGGTTGTGTTACATAGGCAAGTCTTTCCTTAAATAAGGCACGTCAGATTTACAGACTATAAACCTTAAACCCACAGCACAATGCAATTTTGTCCTCATTTATAGCTGCAGTGTAATTCTCACTGCTAAATGCAAATAAGTGCTTCTTGCGAGCATTTTGATGTTACCAGATGTTACCAGCTTCCCAAAGATTATTTACCCTGAATCTAACTGTAAAAAGCTGGCACAGCATGGCTAGATTCAAGGGATGAAGTGGGTCACACGTGAAGAGTCAACTCAAACCGCCAGAGTCACCTCAAACTGCCAGAGTCACCTCAAACCGCCAGAGTCACCTCAAACCGCCAGTCACCTCAAACCGCCAGAAGCTCCAGCTGCACTCCAATCATGCAAACAATCAAAATAAACGACAATTACCCAGAAGCTGTATATATCATCGATACACAACAACAAAGTTATCAGTTATTTAGCATTTATTTTAAGAAATAGATTCCATACTGTAGCCTTTGAGGTGCAATAATCTGCAGCTCTCATGCTTTGAGCTAAGTATCTCAGCATGGCGGCAGTCACAGCAGCAACAGATTAATCTGGGTAATTGCGAAGAGACAGGCGGTCAGCCACTGTGGTGTGTGTGTGTGTGTGTGAAGTGCTGCTGCGTATTCCCTTAGAGACAGCGGGGTCTGTCACCCAGATAGCACTGACCCGACTACAGCTCAGTCTCTTAAAGGGACGAGTTTCTTACCCTCCAGCTCCCTGAAGCAGAGAGGCTGGCAGAATTGCCCCGCCCATCAAATGACATCACAGCAATGTCCCGTTCCCCTGGACAACCTTCCCTGACAGCACAGACTGGCTTTCCCCAATGCCCCCTACTTGGCTTAATGCCACTTATTATTAGATTCATCTTATCCATTTTATGTTTCAGTTTTAATCTGAAGAAATAATCGTCTACCCAGGATGCCTGCTCTTCAATTTCTCTAAGCATTTAGTGTTGGGTCTCCAAAACCTTTCTGGATTGCCCACTGTAATGCATTACAGCACGCACACACACAGAGGTTTGTAATTATATCTTTGTGGGGACTCTCAATTAATTTCTATGGGGAAAACTCTAATCACAATATGACAACCTTAACCCCTACCCAGCCCTAACCTTAACCATAACTAACCAAACAAAATATGAGAATTCTGGCATTTTTTGTTTTCTGATTGCATTCACAGATCTTTGTGGGGACCTGAAAAATGGTACCCACAATGTCAAAATAGCAAGTTTTTATCACATTGTGGGGGCCACTTGGTCCCCACAACATAATATAAACATAATCCACACACAGACACACGTGTACGCATACCATTAAAAACTGCTGTAACACATTTACCAGAATCAGAGATTATACTGAAATGATGTTGGATGTATTTGGTTCATGACTGATGGAGGGGAATCTGAAATAATCCACAGTGAATGTGGCTCAGATAAAAAATATACAGGCTGAAGGAGAGCAAGTGAGTGAGAAAAGAGAGTGAGAGGGCGAGAGAGAGAGAGAGAGAGAGAGAAACAGAGGGAGGGAAAGAACAAAAGTTATTTAAAGTCAGCAGCAGGAGAGTTAGGAAAAGTACATACAGACCCTGAAGGTGAGAGAAGCTCTGACACTGTGAGAGAGAACACTGATACTACAGCTCGATGTGAGATGTCGATACTGACACTAGCTGTTATTGTGAGAGAGAACACTGATACTACAGCTCGATGTGAGATGTCGATACTGACACTAGCTGTTATTGTGAGAGAGAACACTGATACT